CTAGCAGGCATCAGGAAGGAAGACCACACTTCTGCCAGATCTGTGGGAAAACATTCAAAGGTAATGCCCATTAGAGAAATGCATCCTCCTGCGCAGGAGTTAGGAGGCCTCTAATTTGCCTTGAGCCTCTGTGTCTTAATTCATAGTGACCATGCAAGTGCTAGTCAGGGAATTAGGACATTCTGTTTGCCTGCTGTGGCAATCGGAGGCAAATAAATGTCTGACTGCACTCCAACTCTTAAAACTGTTTGCAGAACAGAAGTGGATCCAGCATTTCTGTGTTTTGTCAAACATGGAGTCTCTTGCAGGGATTCTTATGTCCATAGCTGATGCAATATTCAGCAAAACTGTTAGAGAAAGCGGAGCAACGGGTGGGCAGGAAGGGGAGAGAACACATCTCCTGCAACTTAGCGGGCCAAGTTTGAGGCTTTAGTACAACTCTTCAAAAAGGAATCTCCCTTTCACCATGTCCCTTGCCATAGTAACATTTCCAATGTAGCTCAGGCCTATGATTGTTTAACTCAGGGACTCTCCGTGCAGTGTTCAGACCATGAACACGTTGCCATGTTCAGCCAAGTGGCTAATAAATGGTTTCTAACTTTCCCTTCTCAGCTGTTGAACAGTTGCGTGTCCATGTTCGCAGACACAAAGGAGTGAGGAAGTTTGAATGCACTGAATGTGGTTACAAGTTCACCCGACAGGTATGGAGTTTTCCTAATTCCACTTGCAATGAGCAAATGTACTAAGCCCGGTTGAGTCACTAGCTTTCTATTCGCAAAGAGATGAAACAGATGGGAACAGAATTAGTCTTATAAAGTGGTGTATTTCTTCAGGAGGGAAAACAGAGGGGTCCTAAACTGAAGCATGTTCACTGCCTCTTGTGGACAGGAATGAAGCAGAGCAGCACTTGGAGTGTCTGAGCTGCCGGCCGCTCAGGCGGGGTGAAAAGGGCAGTGCCAGTTAGTGCCCTTGCTCCTTTGACCAAGTTTTCCCTCGGTAACCCCACCAAAATCTCACCTCATTTACTAAACCCAAAGTCCTTGGAGGGGCGGGAAGAGAGGAAGCAAAGAAAGAGATTTCTATGGACAGGTGACACATCACACTGGGATAAAAACCCCAAAAGAACGAAATGCTTTAATGAGTATTTGAGGCAACCTAAATCTAGTGTGAAATATGGGCCTCTGCTCTTTGCTCCTAGCCTGGGTAGTGGCTGTGACGGATGAGAAATGAGTGAGGATTGAGTCCCTACTAGAGCAGCCCAGAAGGCTTCAAAAATGGGACTTTCTTTCCTACTAGCTGTATCTGCCATTCCCTCTCCACAGCTGGAATCCTGCTCCTGCTGTGTGACCACGTGGTGGCACTGCCTTCTGGCCCCAAGGAGAAGAGGCTAAGTTACCACCTTTTCTCTTAGAGGAAGTGTTAGGGGGAACAGAAGTTTCTATGGAAGGGCTACCCCATCCTTGTCTTCTTACCTGTTGTCATTTCCCCCTTCCTATGGCCTTTTGGGAGGAGGGGGTCTGTTCTCCCACATTTGTGAATTTATTGTGTGCATTTATTTCCCTGCATGCTTTCTCCACCCCTAGTGCTAATTAGACCCAACTTTTTAGCCACCAACATTCCTGGACCTCATTCATGGCCAAGAGGAGGCTCTGCTGTGCATGTTTTAGGTGGGTAATGATAGACTTTGATTGTTCTTCTTTTAAAGGCCCACTTGAGGCGCCACATGGAGATTCATGACAGGGTTGAAAACTACAATCCCCGGCAGAGAAAGCTGCGGAACCTAATCATTGAGGATGAAAAGGCTGTTGTGGTAGCACTCCAGCCCCCACATGAATTAGAGGTGGGGCCTGCAGAAGTCATTGTGGAATCCCTCTCTCACAGCTCCCTGGGTGAAGCAATCCCTGTACAGAGACTATGTTCAAATGAGACCTTCTCTATGACAGATGTTATTGAACAATCTCTTATCATTACTACAGCAATCCCGGAAGATTGTGAAACATAGCACTTAAGTCCTTGTACACACCTTTCCCTCTCAAAAATAAATAAAATGAAGTCTTAGGTTGGACTAACTGTTCACAAGGGCTTGATGTTTGTGTTTCAAAGGCTACATTCTCTAAAGTCCCCTGCCTCTTACTTTAAAAATATCATCCTTGTACTGAGCTTTAAGGGGGTGGGGAACAGTGTCTAGTTAAGTGCTGAGCTGGTGGAGGGGCACAAAATAGGGAGTTGGCAGCTTACCTCTTAATGAACCAAATGTAAGTGAGCAGAATAAATCTCCCCTGCTTGAGCTTGAAATATAATTTTTTATTCCCTCATGCTTAATACTGTCAACTACCTTTCTAACCCAGTTGGAAAGATACTGCCTTTTACAGACTTGTTTAGAAAAAGTAGTTTTGTTTTGGGGGAAAATGCCCTCCAGCACTGTGGCAGTAACAAGAAGAATGCCTCCCCTAAACCATCCTTCTGGTAGGCATCTGTAGATGATATAGTGAAACTTCACTCCTAATATCAAGTATGGCAGTTGTAAGTGTCCATGTATGGGTCACACTTGTGTACAAATACATGGATCTTGCTCTCCTGGTGGCAGCAGTGTTGAAGTCTGGCTTTACACAACCCAATACCATGAACAGCATACCAAAGTTAGCCTTCAGGTAAGAACTACGTAAAGTTGTTTAGTAACCCCATTTTTGCTAAGGAGACTCCAACCCCAGCTTCGGATAGTTTAATTTAGGCTGCATTTATCAAAATCACCTAAACAAATTAAGTACCCAGATCCTACTGAATTTTATTTGGAGTTGGGTATCAAGCTCCATTGAAAATCCCTTAATGACTTATACAAGAACAGCAAATGTGTGAAAACTCAGAGCTAATCAATCTCTCCAAGAGTGTACTTGCTTCCCTGCCCCCACCCTGTTAGATCAGTAATGCAGAAAGACCCTCTAAAATGTTAGTTCTCTAGGGAGAGATGAGCCTAATGCTATGAATGTGATTGCAGGAGGAAAAGTGTGATTGTGTAAATATATTCCACATAAGCACTATTGTAGCTGTGTTGGTGCCAGGATATTAGAGAGAAGGTGTGTAAGGTAATATTTATTGGACCAGCTTCTGTTGGTGAGAGAAACTAGCTTATACAGAGCTCTTCTTACTTCTCTCACCGATATTCCACTAATTTAACTCCTTGGCCATAAACTTTTTATCTGGCTTGGAATCCTGCAGGCATGGTCTGTGATCCTGCACTATAGCTACAAGCTGCCATTTTGGTGAGAGGAGAATCAGCCCTGTAAAGGACCATCCCCCTGCAGAGACAAAAGGGCACAGCTGGGGTTTTACCCTGCTGCTCATTTTGTGGTGTTGGCAACCAGCACAATTTAGAAGCTATAATGGTGAGCAAGGGAAGAGTGGGCCTGGCTCACCATAGACCATGTGGAAGGTGAGGTTTAGCTCATCTATCCCCCTGGAATGGACTTGGCACAACATCTGTTTGATTGCTCAATGTAAGGGCAGTTTGAAATATCTTGAGTGAAGGCTTAATATTGTAAGTCTTCAACAATTTCTTTAAAACAGGTGGCTGTATTATATAACTTTTACTTTACATGCTGGTGCTTTTAAACTCAATCATCATGTGTACTGATCAAGGGCAGACAGCTGAGATGATTAAGTTATCATACCTCTATCAATACTGAGGCCTGGTCTACACTGGGGAGGAAGGGGGAAATCGATCTAAGATACGCAACTTCAGCTACGAGAATAGCATAGCTGAAGTCGATGTATCTTAGATTGAATTAAAATTACTTGATCCAGCGCTGCGAGGACGTGAAGTGACACCCGCGGCTCCCCCGTCGACTTTGCTTCTGCCTCTCACTGAGCTGGAGTTCAGCAGTCGACGGGAGAGCGATTGGGGATCAATTTATTGCGTCTACACTACACGCGATAAATCGATCCCCCGTAGACGTACCCTGAGTTACTAATTCCAACCACAGAAGGATGCATCAAGTAAAAACCCACCAAAAAAAAGCAAGTTCTCAGCTGCTTAACAGTTATGGGAGGAGGCTGATGAGCAACTTCACAATCTCGCAGTACTTTGTCCATAAGGCTTGTATCACTAAGATAGGCATGGTCAACTTTTTACACTGAGGGCTGTCTGCACAGCTTGTGAAAAGTCATGTGTGCTTAAGGATACCAAACTCTCATGACCATCTCTGTCCTTTAACACTACTGCTGTTGACAAAGCACCTAAAATTTAAGATGCAAGTTCTCCAGCAAGAGATAACTAGTACATCAGCTGTGAGGCAATTTAAGGGAACTGAGAATTTCAACAACTGGACTACTTGAATCCCCTGCTACTTTTACAAAAAGCTTTTGCAGACTGTGGCTGAAAGTTGCTTTGGCTCTGAAGTAGATTTAGTTTAAGAAGTTTGTCAGTGCACATATCAGAATTCAACCAAGTTATGCTAGAGCATTTCACAAGTAGCTGATTAGATTCCAGAATGGAGTACAGATTAGAGAACTAACTTCCAGGGTTATTTCTTAAGTGACACTATACACAGTACCTTGGACCCCTCAGCCTGATTTTCTGGTTATTGTAAACTGCCACTCTTAGAATACTAAATTACTCAAGTCACTTAAAGTGAGACGATCTATGGCAGCAAGACAGCATAAGTGTCTGCATTATTAGCAGTACTCACACAGTGACAGCCATGCAGAAGACATTTTAGCATAGTTCATTTGTGATAGGAAGGCCGGGAACATTCTAAAAATGGTAGTGGAGCAAAAATGGGATTTGTTGCAAGTGTACTTAATAGTAACTAACAAACAGCTTGGAAGAGAACTCTTAGATCACACTTCCTCTGTGGGTGAAGTAAGACTACCCTTCAATGTTTTCTCTTTGGAAAGTGACTATTTAATTTGACAAACATGCATCAGAGGGAGAGCCACCACAGGCAAATTAACCCTATCAGATCTAGAAGCCTCCCTGCCGTCACTGAGAGCTGAACAAAACATTTACATTTAACATGTTTTATTTAGCTTGATCATTTCAAGTAAGTTTAAAAACAAAAGTATGAATAAAATTCCAAAATCTGTCAAAACGTAAAATGCCTTTGCTTCAAAGGATGGTATTTAAACAGTATTTAAAGGTTTGGACACAATGAAAATCTACAAAAAGTTATAAATACAAACCTAAAGTTACTCAGCTGGTTTTGGAACGTCAAGATGACAGGTCCAGCAGAGAGCACTACGGGAGGAGAATGTTCTACATAAATATACTTTAATAGTTCAGCATAAATACTTGACCATTCTACTATGCAAATTAAGTTATACTAAATCACAACATGTAGGCAGCAGTGCTCCACATCTTAAGATGGACTTGAATACATGTCTTAAACTACTGACACCCTACTGAGCACCACATGGTTGTGTTTACCATTCCCATTACAATAACTGCACAAGCTCAGTGGAAGATGTAGGTTTCCTACTGGTTACTATAAAATTTGTGATACTAAAAGCCTGACTGAGGTAACCAAATGGTCCACTGATTGGTATTCCCAACTTCCAAGTAGGAAACTCAGTGAGTTTTTCGTTCTTTCCAGCTGGTAGCACTACCAAGGGTCAAAGTCTGACATACCAGTCTAAGCTTCTTTGCCTAATACGGAAGTAGGAGTCCCACCATCTTGTCTAGTCATCCTTTGCCAGCAGACTGATGTTCATGACACGAAGCTCTAGCAAGAGCTTTTGGAGCATGATCTCCAGGACTCCCCTGCAACATGTGCAGAAGTTTCCAAAACAAAACAGAAGTTGAAGTTTGCCAACTCTATCAAGTTGATTTATACAGTAACTTTGTTCCACCCACTGTGAAGTCTTGGTAGACTGAAGTCTGTCAACATAATCTAGTTGCTCTATATCCCTGTCTCAAGCTACATTCTGATAAGGCACTGTCAATAACCTATCAAGGTTTGAGTGGTCCAAGTTCAGGATAATGGGAAGAATCTCTGCTGAAAGTTTGCAATAGAGAGAAAATGTTCGAGAGAGAACAGACTCAAGAGCTGTAGAAAATGCTTTATCCCTTGGGAACTTAGGACATTTCAGTGAGTTAAGATATCCTACAGCATCTTCCAAATGAAGAAGCCTAAAGATTTGTGTGATTGAATATCTGGGTTTGTCACATGTAGGTGAAGTTTAAATTCATACAGTTTTCCCACTGAGAAAATGCACAGCTACCATCTCACCCACTATTTCACTTCATCATTCTTTCCTAAAGGACATTAATGCTTGCTTTCAACTAGACCATGCTGCATTTTGAAATTTAAGAGCTTTGTAGGAACAGCCAGACAATCAAGGAATTAGCAGGAAATTTCCTCTTCCATTGAAATGTGCTTGCTTAGTTTAAATACAGGAAATAAAATTAAGCCTGCCAGATCACTTAAGTCTGAAAGCAAAACTTACTGATTACAAAAGCAATAGCGATCTAAACAAAATTCAGTCTCTATGCACTAACTAAAGGCCCTGATTAGCATTTACCAACTGCTCAAAAATTCCAACAGCTGCTTTAAATTATTTTGATGAATGTCAATTCTCACGTGTAATATTAACATGTTAGAAAGTTCTATCACTCAGCAAATTGATCCATTTATAAACCGTAAATTTACCTTAGCTTAGCCACCATTCTTTATCATGAATGTTTGAAGCAGCATAAAATTATTTTTCTATATACCAAATACTGTAATCAGTTACTTTGCTCAAATCCATGGGACAGTTCCCAAGGAAGCTCTTCTTTATTTCCTCCCTTTAAATAAGTTCTCCCCTAAAAATACCATTCTGATCTACTTCTTTAGTGTCTAAATAGTGAAAATACCCCTTCTGCATTTTATAGTGTCCCCATCTACTATCCAGGACCTATCTGCTTAATCTAGCACAAATTTTGCCATCCTTTATATAAAAAGAGTCAAGTTAAAGTCTAGAGCTTATGGAACATCAATAATAAATAGCAAATAACCTCACTAGACAAGACCATACTGCAGAGATTTCTCTGCCAAGTTCAACGGCAGGCTAAACAGTTTGATAGAAACAAAAAGGTTATTCAGATTTGAATGTTGATGGAGGAGGATGTTCTTGTCCAAGAGATCTTTGACATGAGCCCCCAGCCCCTAAAGTCTCCCCCCACTCTTCTTCTCAGATGGATATTTGCTTAAAAAAAGAAACAAATGCATTTGACATTTCACTCAATCTAAGTATGTGAATCATTTTTAAAATGATAAGTTTCTAAAGAAACATTTTCCTAGTAAGGACCAATAAAAGCACAAGCTGCTTGGGGGTAATGAAAATTCTGTATAAAAACTTTCAGTGCTGTAGCAGTTTTTAACAATTAATTTATCACATTTTTAAGGTTGCGGTGGAGGGAAATTTCAAACTTCATGACTCTCAACCTTAATATCCCTGCACTGAGCTTTTTATGCAAATGCAGTTTAATAGGTTCTTCATAAAAGCATGAAGAGTGACTAAAGTTTATGGTGGCTCAGCATATTTAGGGCTAGATATTTATATCCTCATATCTGCACATCTATAATGAACCCAAACTTTGTGGGTGGAATTTTCCCTCAGATCATATTGGCAAGAGGTCTATCTTCCTCTGGAGCACTGAGAAGAGCATTAGATCTGCAGGCATATCTTACCAAATCAATCTCTCCCCTTTCAGAGAGCCTCTGGTATTAGCGAACTTTAGTCCTCCCTATCTTCTGTGTTTCCATAAAATACCGCCACAAAGAATGGAATTTGGTGGCAAATATGAAGTGTTATGATGTGGAAAGCTGCTGACTGCAGGGTACTAGTGAAAGCTGTCTGATCAAAAGCTACACAGTGCTGCCTGGAAGAGCAATATTGGTGCTTGAGTAACAAGTGATTTTTTAAAAATACCTGTTTTTTTCCAGAGTTCTCTATCAGAGCTTTTCTGTGGCTAATGCTGCACCTTCTCCATCCACAGAAAAGTGCTGAGGGACAATGCACTCAAAGAGGCCTCCAACTTTCTGCCAACTATGCTTCCTACAACAACATTTTAATCTTTCAGGGTTTTTACTACCTCCCTACTTGCAATTACTGATCAATCCATTTCAGAGTTTCCAAGCACCAGTTTGCCTCCTGCCCTCCCCCAAAGTGACACTGGTTATTTGTAATGAATTCACTTCAAGCCAGAGAGAAGTTTTTCTACTGTTAACGTAACTCATTAAGATTCTGATTATGAAGATTCTGGCGCTGCCTGTTTAGGTTAATGGCATTATCCAGAGTGATACTGTCGTCGTCTTGTGTAGTTTGTGGCATAAACTGTCGGAATATGCTGACACTTCCATGCCAGAAGGTGGGTTCAGGCAGCCGTCCCACTATGCTCCATGTTCGAGTTTCTGGATCATAAGCTTCCAGCACGTCTGAAAGTTCAAATGTGTTATCGTAGCCACCAGAGACATAGAGCTTCCCACCAAGCACAGCCAAGCTCCCTCCAACATGAACCTACAATTAAAAACATGTTATTAGAGACGACCATCCTGGCTTAACAAGGAGATCTTCAAAGACCTGAAACTCAAAAAAGAGTCATACAAAAAGTGGAATATAGGTCGAATTACGAAGGATGACTATACGAAAAAACAACAGAAGCATGTAGGGACAAAACCAGAAAAGCCAAGGCACAAAACAAGATAAAACTAGCTAGGGACTTAAAGTGTAACAAGAAAACCATTTAAAAATACATTAGAAGCAAGAGGAAGAACAGGGTAGGCCCATTACTCAATGAGGAGGGAAAGACAATAACAGAAAACACAGTAATGACTGCAGTTTTAAATGCCTTTTTTGTTTCAGTTTTTACCAAAAAAGTTATCAGTGACTGGACAACCAACATAGTGAATATCAGTGTAAATGGGGTAGGATCTGAGGCTAAAATAGGGAAAGAACAAGTGAAGAATTACTTAGACAAGTTATATGTCTTGAAGTCAGCAGGGCTTGATGAAATACATCCTATAATATTTAAGAGATCTTGGAGCCATTAGCAATTATCTTTGAGAACTCATGGAGGATGGAAGAGATCCTAGAGGACTGCAAAAATGCAAACATAGTGCCTATCTATAAAAAGGGGAACAAGGACAACCTAGGGAATTGTTCTCCTTAACCAATGAGGACAGGACATGAAGTAATGGGCTTAAATTGCAGTAAAGCAGGTTTAGGTTGGACATTAGTTATGAAGTTTTTCCTATCAGGGTAGTTAAGCACTGGAACAGATTACCTAGGGAGGTTGTGGAATCTCCATCACTGGTGGTTTTTAAGAACAAGTTATACAAACTCCTGTCAGGGATGGTCTAGATAATACTTAGTTCTGCCTCTGTGCAGAGCACTGGACTAGATGACTTATCGAGGGCCCTTCCAATCCTACATTTATAGGATTATGTCCCTTTAGGTAGGTAAACGGATCTCTAGCCTAGCAGCTAGTCCCAAATTTGTGGGTCCTCTGCTATTGCTGGCAATTGCTGCTCTGGAACAGGTATGGTGCTCACAGGTCCCAGCAGGTGAAACCATACCAACACAACTGTAACAGAACTGACAAGTCCCAGCCAAAAGGTCAGCAGCATTAACTCCAACTAAAGGAGCTATAATTCAAGAACCACAAAACAACAAGATTCAAACAAAGATCTCTGCTAACCTATGCAGCTGCACCACATGATGGTTTGGGCGTTTACAGCTTGTCTACATTGTGCATTAGTCCACACTAGAGAGGTGTAAATTCTAGTGCACAATAGAGGGTCACACACTAACTGGCCCACTTGGACCCTGGTAGCATACACTAAAAGTTCCCTGGTGCATTAACGTAGTATTGTATACTACATTAATGCACACTAGAGAACTTTTAGTGCAGGCCAGCTAGTGCGTGACACCTTAGTGTGCACTGGAATTTATACCCTTTTAGAGTGGACTAATGCACAGTGTAGACAAGCCTTCATTGTTCTCTATTGGTCACCTAAACTACAAGTGCTCTGAAACAAGGACTACCTTTTGCTGTACATGGCTGAACATATTGTTAGCATTCACTGAGTTTATTTTGTGTTGTATCAGTGCTTAAATAATTAAGTCACTCCCCTGCCCCAAGAAGCTTATAATCCAAAGGAATTGTTTCCAGCAGTTTTTAAAATGAACTCATTGTCAACATCCTACCTGAAGCATAGGAGGGATTTTGTCCCATTCGTTCTTCATTGGATTGTAAACATCCACTTCAGCGGAGTCATCTCTATAAAAGAAAAAAGGAAACCACTATTCAGAAAGCTGTAAAGGCTCCCCCCATTTCATCAAGCACGGGTGAAAGTAGTCCAAGCAAGTGCCGGAAGTGCTACATTAGCATTTTTGCTTCCACCTGGTTACATTCACAAACTCATGTGCACATTGATCAAATTGCACTTGCACTAAGACATGAGATATGGTGCACACTCCAAACTGCTATATGTGGCTCCTATAATGCAGCATCAATGGCCAGCCCAGAAATCAATGGATCTGCGTAGCCCCGGGTGCTGAAGAGCTATGGACTACGAGTGGGCTGCATCATTACGCATAGGAAGTCTCCTCACTACTTGTGAATTGGTGCTTGTGTCCAAAGAATGTGAATAGCACTTCTTTGCTTCTCCAAAGTCAAAACTGCACTTAAAAAAATAAATTCTGATTTTGAAAAGATTACCCAGTTAGTTGGGTGCAGTGAACCATACACTGGAGGCTGAATGAGCCCAGAACACCCAGGCAGCGTTTCTGCCTTCCCCTGCCTACAACCAAGTATGGGCTGGATGAATGGACTATAAGGTGAATGGAAAGCTGGCTAGATTGTTGGGCTCAATGGTTAGTGATCAATGGCTCCATGTCTAGTTGGTAGCCGGTATCAAGCGAAGTGCCCCAGGGGTCGGTCCTGGGGCCGGTTTTGTTCAACATCTTTATTAATGATCTGAATGATGGGAGATGCAGATGACACTAAACTGGGAGGAGTGGTAGATTAATTAAGCCACTCCCCTGCCCCAAGAAGTTTATAATCCAAAGAGTAGGGATAGGATACAGAGGGACCTAGACAAATTAGAGGATTGGGCCAAAAGAAATCTGATGAGGTTCAACAAGGACAAGTGTAGAGTCCTGCACTTAGGACAGAAGAATCCCATGCACTGCTACAGACTAGGGACCGAGTGGCTAGTTTTGCCGAAAAGGACCTAGGGGTTACAGTGGACAAGAAGCTGGATATGAGTCAACAGTGTGCCCTTGTTGCCAAGAAGGCTAATGGCATTTTGGACTGTATAAGTAGGAGCATTGCCAGCAGATCGAGGGACGTGATCATTCTCCTCTATTCGGCATTGGTGAGGCCTCATCTGGAGTACTGTGTCCAGTTTTGGGCCCCACACTACAAGAAGGATGTGGAAAAATTGGAAAGAGTCCAGCGGAGGGCAACAAAAATGATTAGGGGTCTGGAGCACATGACCTATGAGGAAAGGCTGAGGGAACTGGGGTTATTTAGTCTGCAGAAGAGAAGAATGAGGGGGGGGATTTGATAGCTGCTTTCAACTACCTGAAGGGGGGTTCCAAAGAGGATGAAGCTTCGATGTTTTCAGTGGTGGCAGATGACAGAACATGGAGCAATGGTCTCAAGTTGCAGTGGGGGAGGTCTAGGTTGGATATTAGGAAAAACTTTTTCACTAGGAGGGTGGTGAAGCACTGGAATGCGTTACCTAGGGAGGTGGTGGAATCTCCTTCCTCAGAGGTTTTTAAGGCCCGGCTTGACAAAGCCCTGGCTGGGATGATTTAGCTGGGGATTGGTCCTGCTTTGAGCAGGGGTTTGGACTAGATGACCTCCTGAGGTCCCTTCCAACCCTAATCTATGATTCCATGATTCTGTGAACTGCCCCACGGTTATTCAGCCGTGCTGCCTGCCCAAGACAGAATGCAAAATTATTTGTATTACAAATAGTACCTAGAAGCACCACTGTGCTATGCTGATAATTGCAGGCCAATCCTAAACATGTTATTTAAATCTATTTATTTCAAAATGTGCACGTTTGGGTCCCACAACAGATAAACTTCCTGCAAATTTGTACCGGATAAAATAATCTGGCTTTGGTTATATGAGTGCACAAGAACATCAGTTAGAAAAATAACTGATATTCTGGGGTGACTTAAACCTCTCCCCACCTAAAATTAACCCTGAAAGGGTTGGACTGAAACTTCAGCCAGTGCCAAGTTTAGACCGGGGTGTGGGGGTGTGTGAATAAAGGCTGGAGAGAGGTCTGTAATGGAAGAACTGACAGCAGCACTATAATCCCACAAGGCTTCTTTTACCCATTCCACTCATGAGACAGGAGCGTGACAGCAACAGGTGAGGGATTATTGAGACACAGAAATGCAATTTGCTGGCATACGAATATGGAGATTACAAGGTCAGGGCAGTCATAGCAGTACTTAAAGTAAATCCAAGAAAGTCCTATCAAGAATGAAGATGGAAGACTACCTAGGAATACAGAATCTTCTACTTAGTTCAACCACTAATTAATTTGAGCTTCCATTTTAACTGAATCAGTCTCAAGAACTAAGTTAATTGAATTTAAAGTAAAAACTATGTACTGTATTAGAATCCATTTCAATTGGTATAGACTTCTTTTATTGGATAATTTAATCTCTGGTTATAAAGTCTTTTTATTAAAGTTAAAAATTTGAATGAGAGAAGAAAAGTGAGTCCAAGACAATTAGAACTGAGTATTATATTTTTCAGACATTGTTACTGATTTTCCAAGAACTACTATGTTCTTTGCAATCTACGAAAAGCACTCTAGTGATGACAGAGAAAACAAGATAATCTGTTTATTCCAATCAAAGCAATAGCAACAGAGTTTGTCGAAAAAAGAGGAAGGTGAAATAAATAAGAGTCTTTGCAGACATCCTAGAGCACCACCTCTCCTGATGACCATTTGTTTAGAAGCTATCATGCTTGTAAAAGGGTCTGCTTAGTATACAGCAAAATCCAGGTTTTTGAACTATAGTTATTATTAGTTAAAAACAGGGTGGATTTATTTAAATCAATGTAATTTAAATACTTGATTTTAATCACCAAGCAGGAAACCTTGATTTAAATCAAGGATTTTAATCTTGTTTTGCATTTGTACTATAGTTATTTTCTTAAAGAAAGTTGATTCTCAGTGGTTGGTAACCATTAAAACATATTTATTTGCAACTAAATATAACCTTTACACTAAATGTGGTGCATCTTTTTGTTAACCAAGAGGATACACTATATTGATAAACTTTATTTAAGCAAATATAAAGCTTAACTTGCATTTATTCAGACTCTTAAATTTTACTTTTTTTATTATGTTAGATAATTTTTTAGTTGTGATTTAGTGTCAAGCTCAATTTGAAAATTCTGATTCAATGAAGTGCACAAAAATCAGCACTTTAATTTTTTTATTAGTTAAGTAAAATTACCTTAAATATGCAGATACACAAGAAAAAAAAGTACATCAAAACATGTTCTGCATTTACTGATCTTTTAAAACAAGGTATTATCTGTAGTTAGTGAATTGAACTGATTGTTTCTGATTCCCATTGTCCTTCAAGATTTTGGAATTAGTTGATCTCAACCTCTCACACCCAGTATAGATTGGAAGAAGAAAAGCTTTTCTCCTTTTTCCAATGTACAATTTGTATCTTAACTTTGTCTGAACTAGTCATAGAACTGAACTATCTGAATATACCGAAATGAAAAAATATTCTTTGTGCATCTGCAGAAGATCCTACTACTGTCAAAAGCTGATTATGCACTTCAACAAACTCTGGTTATAGGTGCTTAGCCAGTGACTTCCACCAGTTTAATGGTTTAATTTTCTGTAAAACTTCAGCAGCAAACATGTGCTACTTATTATTATTTTAACTTAATATAGTTTTAATATAAATTATTGTAAGTTTAGGCCTTAACATAGGTTGTCAACTTCAATTTTAATTTTATATAAGTTTATTTTTTAAACATAAACCTGTATTTAAACAACAACAACAACAAAACAACCTCAGATTTAAAATGTAAAAAAAAAAATCTGATTTTTAAATATTTTAAATATCAGTTTTTATTCACCATGGTTTAAAAAACCAATGCACAAGTTTTCTTATGGTTCCCAAGGTACATGCTTTATAACCAGTTTCCTTAGTTTGAGCTACTTTGGGAAGCAATCTCAGAGCAGAGGTGTCTATGTAGAGGAAAGATGGTCCATGGGAGTCAGGCATTTATAAATCACACTTGTTTAATTCAGTTCTACGGACCCGAAGATAATAAACAACTTAAATACACTGGGATCTCTCCTTCCACCTGTTGTATACCTCAAATAGAGCATTAATAGGAGTTTCATGTATTCAAGTGAAGAGCCAAGACAACTCTTTTAGTGATACTGCTTTAAAAATCCTAAAGTTGCTGTCAAGCCACTTCTACAGAGAAGAGTTATCACAGTTTACAATGTTTATTATAATTAACAGTTCTGCATGAGGCAAATACTTCCAAGAATGAAAGTGAAAACACACTGCTTGCGTGCTGGGAGGGAAAACAGGAGCAAGAATGATTCCACATGCTTGTCTGAATAAGAACAAGGCATTCCCATCTCAAGGTTGTTTCTAATATAGAAGTAACCCAAGAGGCTAGTTTTGCTGTGATGCCATATTTATAACTGTAACTAGGCTTGGTTGTAAAGAAGAGGGAGAGTTTTATTCTCACTTAATAAAGAAAAAAATCCACCTAAACTGAAAGTTAGCAACTTTGGTTAATAAGTTACCCTTTGGTCCCATGTATATGAACCTATTGCTTTGAGATTGTCCTTATAAACGATCAGAAAAATATCTCTTTTGCAGCATTTTTTGGGGGGTGGGGGGGGCGGTGGCGAGGAGGAGTGAAGAAGAGGAAGAATTTTTCCTTTGCTGTGTCAGGTAATTTTCTCAGCTGCTTTCCCAATGAACCACCAATGACTTCCTACTGCTGCAGCAACCCTGACAGAGGTGTGTATGGGCCAACTACTCAACCATTAGAAATTCTAAACCTTGAACTACCAGTCTGCTGAAAACAGCAAGTAAAGTTGGCTCTGCAAGCGTACAGGATGGATATTTTGATGAAAGAACCTTTTCAATATTAGTTGAATATTGAAAGAGGGAGAGGAATAACTTCAAAGAGCTGCTGGAAGCCAAGATGCTGGACTGAGCAAGAACAAATCCAAATGCAGCAAATAAAGATCATGGATACAACTTATTCCTTTAAGCAAACCCAAAGGTAATAAAACAAAATTTCTAGGGACTATTTTTAATGTACACTTGCTCACACACGAAGACAGTACACTAGATGAAGGGTTTCAGTGATGGAATGCCTTTCAGTTTATTTTTTAAGTGGGTAAGTATTTGAACCATTAGAACTCAACTCACAATGGTTTAAAAACAACAACAAACCATTTCATCTCATGTTGTCTTATCTCATTTCACGTGTGCTATCTGTGTTTCTATGTGTGTATTTAAAGTAATAGTAGAACTGAATTAAAAGCCAACAGAGCTCAAGGATTCTACTTTAAAGTAGATTTCTCCTCAGTCCAGATTGTAAAATTGCCTCTATTTCCCAAATTGTGGATTTAAATCCAATCCTTCTGCACTATTTCTCAAAAAATCAGTCTACCGTGGGGCGAGGTGGGGTGGAGAATACAGTATTACTTACCTTATAAAGTATATAAGTCCATTAAGAGTCACAGTTTTTGGTGCAAAAGACCACGGAGGCAGCTGTCCACAGTTCACTAGGGACCAGAGGTCAGTTTCAGGGTCATAACATTGTATAACCATGGATTCTTTGCCTGCTAGAGAGCCAATAGCAAAGAGTTTGCCACGACAAGATGTGGTGGAACAGTTGTCCATTGGGTACAACATAGGCTGCAAAGCCTCCCAGGCGTCTATGGAGTGGTCGTAACGTTCTGTGCTGTCTGAGGCTATGATATACAACAGTCCATCCAAGACTGTAGAGCTGTGGTATTCTCTTGCTTTTAACATTGGAGACACTTCTGTCCATTCATTCACACTAGAATTGTATCGCCAGACACAGTCATAGAGCCTTGACCCATCTGATCCTCCTACAGAAGAGAGCACATTTCATAAGTAAATAATTCGCAATATATCCCATTGTATGTGGGGGGTGGGGAGGAAGACAGAGGAGGGGTTTTATGTAATAACTCAGCCCTTTATTAGGTATTCAAAAATGTTACTACTTTCCAATACTATAACAAATTTTGCTACTTCCCCAGCCTACTTGTTATTAAAATATTCAGGGACAGGAGGAAAATGGCAGTTTGTTTCACAACAATTTCAAGGCTAATGGTACCACTCAACCTCAAATTTATTTGGAAATTTCCAAACGAGCCTGTAAATTTGTCTCCCATTTACTCCCAGTATCTCAGAGGAGATTCACTCATGTGGTGCCCAGACAAAATCGGATGCATTATCAACTCAAAACATGTATCCCACGTTTGGCTAACTTCCTGATCCTTTTCTCCCTTTCCCATTTACAACCCCCACCACACCCCTGAGGAGGGCTTGGAGCTGGTGACCCAATACAGAGCAACTTTCAACAATGATTAGCCAGCAAAGGTACTGATAAGAGTCCAACTCGCACGTCTACAATAGTTGACAACTATATCCATGGAGCAAACCTAACATGCAAGCTCCATAAACTAAAGAACAACCTGAGACACCTGACCCCACTTCACTGCTGCCTCATACAAAAATCTGCTTCTGCTTTCCCTTTACATCTCTTTTCCTCCGAGCTACCACTGTAATGTGAAATACAAAACAGTTATCCGTGCATCTTCAGTGACAACAGATCCTGTGTGCAAGTACAAGACTCTTGGAAGAAGTCAGCAATCACAACAAGGTGTGTGACAAAACGTTTGGCATTCAGAATTCCAGGTCAATCAACCTTACATTGTTTTTGAATACTACCATATGTGACTTTCTTTGGATGCAGCAGTGTTAATACAAAATTATTCCGTTTTAGCACATCATCATGCTTATGACATAACAAAAAGGATGTTTATGATTTAAGTAAAGTCAGAGATTGAGCTTTCTGTTCACTTAGGCATGGTTTACATACAACCTTTATCGGTATAACGATGTCTGTTCGAGGTGTGAATTTTGATGACATGGTTATACTGGTAAAAAGGTGCATCATACAGTATAGCTTCTTTCTGTTTGGGTCCCTTTACACTGGTATAACTGCACCCACACTGGGGGTGGGGGTGAGGTGGGAGGTTGCTGCTTTATACTGGTATAGTTACAGTGGCAAATGTGACAAACTGACAAGAGTCAGGGAGTACACTAGAGAAAGAAACACAACTTTTGCCCTTCAATACCATAAACACACTGCTATGCCAAGGTCAATGACTCTCAATGTCATTTAAAGTCTAGAGTATCAGAAGACTTTCTGGTATGTTTCTACTTTAAGCGTTGTGACGAGGTGGGGATTTTCCCTTGTTATGTTGTATGTGAGTCTTACTGTTGAGCCTATGTGAGTTTTACTGTTTTGCATGAATACTGTGTATGCCTCAGTTTCCCTGTGTGCTGCACCAATACCTCGGTGGTGGGAATAGGAGTGTGTGACTTTGGCTGAGACCTCTGAGGCAGGTCAGGCTGCTCCAACTGCCCGAATATATGCTATGACCTGTGCCCTTTGTAACCTGAAACCCAGGAGGGGGATACCAGGTGATGACCAGGTGACTCTTTGTCCCGGAGGGGAGACAAAGACAAGGAGGAGGAGCAATGGGGGTGTCTGAGGGCCTGTCGCTGGAAGCTGGCAGTCTGCTTAGGGGGACTGGAAGAGGGGGAGTCCAGGACTCCTGTCCCAGGACTCCTCAAGATGGACTTGGCTGAAAGTCACTGATTTCTGTGCTAACAAGTTCTGTTCTATGCTGTGTTCCTGTCGACTAATAAACCTTCTGTTTTACCGGCTGGCTGAGAGTCACATCTGACTGCGGAGTTGGGATGCGGGGGCCTCTGGCTTCCCCAGGAGCTCCACCCAGGCGGGCTCACTGCGGGAAGTGCACAGTGTGGAAGGGGATGCTGAATGCTCCAAGGTCGGATCCAGGAAGGTCGAAGCTGTGTAAGCTTCTTGCCCTGGAGACAGCAGCTCAGAGAGATGAGGCTCCCCCAGAGTCCTGACTAGCTTCATATGGAGTAGTTCCAGAGCATCGCCCGCTGACCCTGTGACAAGCGTACATGGTGTACTTCATGTTCCACCCTGTGTTACTTACTTCTCTAAATTCTGCTTTTCTTCAGTGTTCTCATCACAGCAGGAATTTCAAAACCATCTGAAATCAGACTCCTACCCTGTTGTCTTGAGCAGACAGTTGGGAAGTTACACTAACATGGGTCCTGAAATGCTCTTCTACATACTCACTAGTATTAGTCATTATGATTCAGCTGCCTGTCTGAGATCAGCTACTAAATCCATCCCAAAACGAGAATAACTACGGAAAAGGAATCCCTGTTGCAAAATGAAATCTTGTATTTATGCCAAACATCTGAATAGAACTTCAGACATGGTCCATCTGTGAAAAACCAAGAACCACTGTAGGAAACCTAAATATTTTCATTACAAATTTAAACATTAATGTAACTGCAAAGTGGAAGAGTCTCCTGGACGATGGACCCCACACATTAAAAATAAAGTGTTCAGGAGGTTGCTTCTCCACACAGTCAAGTAAGTAATATATAAAATTGCATACATACTTATTTTCCTGAGTTCCAAGCCTATTAGCAACTCAGAACAAATTTGACGCATGAAGCAGCTTATAACCTCTACCAGAACAACAAAACCATTTCGGTTTTACCCACACACTGCTCTAGCCTGTACTTAGAACCAACTACAGAGCCCTGAAGTCTGTCACAATAAAAATGTAGACAAATACCTTTACACAGACTTGTATGCAAGCCTCCCAACAGAACGAAGTGTTACTGCACCGTGGAGATGCCAAGGGCCCTTTGAAACAGGCAGTTGGAATGCATGTCTGCTTATAACGTATGCAACACACGCATTCAACATTTTCAGTGAAGCCAAGGAATCATTTCCCCTGGCATTTAGCATAGCAACAGAACAGTTTCTGAGTCTTTGCAAGAGACACCCTAATTACGAAAGCACATCTCACTTCAAAGAATCGTTACTCTGCGAACCTAAAACAAGCCATACTTAGTCCATCCTGGGACTAATGGCAAAGAAAAGAGGGAACTTTTTATAAAAATACTAGTGCTCTGAAAAGTCAGGGATCTCAGTTCTGGCCTCTCCTACAGCTTTGCCGAAGCCCCTTGATCTTTAAACCTAAAGTCGTTCCCCCATCCCTTGCTAGACCTGGGCTCCCTCCAGAATGATGCCCAGCTGTGGCCCTTTCCCCAGATAACACTCCTCAGGGCATCAGATCCAACGTGTCCCCGTCCTTACCTGTCACGTAGATGTCGTTGCCCAGCGCCGCTATGCTGTAGCCGCCGCCCAAGTGCTCAGGAAACTCGGCCAGGTAGCGCCAGTGCCCCGTGCGTGGGTTGTAACAATCAACGGTGACCAGCTCATCGCAATCACGGTCGCAGCCGCCAATGAGCACAAGGATCTCTGCCAGGCCGGTGGAGGGTCGTGGCCGCATGCGAGCACATGGCCCCTGGTCGTGCCGGTCATAGCGGGCAGCCTGGAAGTCGCGGGCCTCCCGGAGGAGGCGCAGGCAGGGCTGGCAGCGTGCCACCAGGGGCTCGCCCTCCACGTGCGCCAGCAGGTAGAAACGGCGCACAAAGGGCAAGCGCACATGGGCCAGGAGCTGCGGCAGCAGCGGGGCACGGGCAGCTAGATCGGCACGCACCCAACGCAGTGCCAGCTGGAAAGCAGCCTCCTCCTTGGGCACACACAGCTCATCGTCCCGCAAGTAGGAGATGAGCCGCGCCAGCGGCAGGCGCTCCAACTGCGTGCTCAGCTCACCCACATGGCGCAGCACAAAGCGGTGTGCGGCAGCTGCAAGGGCTGGGCAAGCAAAGGCCTCCGCAAAGTCCTGCATGTCCAGCGCGTTGGCCGGCTCCAGCTGCCGGGCCAGCCAAGCACCGCATGCCTCCTTTACGGCTGGGAACTGCAGTAGGTCGGCGGCACGCAGCAGCCGCTCTGCGATGTCGGGGCCCAGCTGCCCCACCCGACCAGTGTAGGCAAAGTCGAGCAGCAGCGCCAGGCACTCAGGGTCCACCCCATGTAGCCGCACCCGCTCGGCCCGGGACTCCCGCAGTGACCCACCGAACATGGCACGGAAGTAGCCAGAAGCTGCGGCTAGCACAGCTCGGTGCGCCCCAAACTCACAGCCCCCGGCCACCACTGTCACATCAAGCAGGCTCCGCTCAGAGCGCAGCGCACTCAGACCCCGCAGCAGTGCCACGGCATGTGCTGGTTCCCCTGGACCTCCGCCTCCTCCTGCCGGGCTCGGTTCCATAATATGCCTGTGGAGGAGGGAACACACAGTGGGTTAGCACGGGGCTTCTCAGGCACTCACAGCCCCTATAAGGACCAGACCCGGCCCTAACAACACGTGGCTCCTGCCCCCGCCCCCTGGTCATCCACCCCCTTAACTCGTAGAGGCCCATGGGGGCCAGGCGGCATTCAAGGGCAGAGCCCACAGGTTAGTACACCCCTCCCCCACACACTCATGTCAGGGACAGCTGCTCTAGTTTAGAATATTCCCATCAACAGGGGGAAGGGGCCTCCCTAACTGATTCCATCCCAGCAGGGAGACTCAGCGTATACAGGGCTCTGTAGAAACCACAGGGCTTTGGCAAGCTTTCCTCTGCGGTGAGGGGATTGCTTCTGGAGAACTGCTTTGTCCTCACACATGCACCAAGCAGAGCCTCACACGTGAAAATCAAGGCAGGTGAAAAGACCCGTTCTGACTTGTATATATATTTTTTAAATGTTGAGGATGTTCAAGATTGTTTGAAAACAGGTCTGGAGTGTAGTTTTCAGTTTATCCACACACATGGTCTCAATTTCCTACACTACAAACTTCGCTGGGGAAGAAGAAAGGTTAGCAGGATAAATGCACAGCACATGAATTTATCACGTCTACTAGTCTTTCTTGGTTTCAAATATAAGTTTTGCTCGAATGCAATGAATTTCTTTGCCTCTTTATTCCAATCCAATCCACTATCTAAAGACACTTTTGAGGACTGGTTGTTACTGTTAGAATTTAGTAAAGGAAGAAATAAACATTACAGTAAGTAAGAGTTATTTAAATGGGCACTGAAAACAAATGGACTGTTACCGAAGAAATAAGAGGTGGAATTTCTTATTCCATTTAGAAAGAGCACCTGCAATCTGTACTTGCAAAACACTGTAGTCTACAAAACTGAATATTTTACTTTACTTCACAAAATGGACAAGCTGCAAAGACAATCTCAATTACAAGATACAGTTTCCAGGACCGCCCAGAGGATTCAGGGGGCCTGCGGCAAAGCAATTTTGGGGGCCCCTTCCATAAAAAAAAGTTGCAATACTATATTCTTGTGGGGGTCCCTGCAGGGTCTGGGGCAAATTGCCCCTCCTGCCCCCCCCCCCCCCCGTCGCAGCCCTGACAGTTTCTCACTGAACTATAACAGTAAAGCTATGTAACTACAGGTCAGCACATATTGTTTCAGTTACTTTTATAAGCACTATGGTACTAATCATACAAGCTATAAACATTTTAACAGAATCAATTAAGAGTGCTATTTGCATGCCTCCAATAATGGCAATCCCATTACTTGACAAACCTTTAATAATAAGATACAGAAAGTCAAGCTTGAGCAATCACAGTATATTACTCATCGGTACGGCTACGTTTTAGTCATGGGTATTTTTAGTAAAAGTCAGACAAGTCATGGGTAGTAAACAAAAATTCACGGCCCATGACCTGTCCATGATTTGTACTATATACCCCTAATTAAAAATTAGAGGGGTAGCCCTGGGAGATGCTGCGGGGGCAGCATGCGGCCCAGGGGTGGGGAGGGTAGCGTGGGTGGTGATGGGGGCTCCCTACCAGTCTCTGCATGGCTCCCCGGAAGCAGTTGGCATGCCCCTGCAGCTCCTAGCAGGAGGGAAGGCCGGGGGGCTCTGCGCACTGCCCCCGTCACAAGTGCCAGTTCCACAGCCAATGGGAGCTACGGGGACATGCCGGACACTTCCGGGGAGCCCTCACGAGGTAAGCGCCACCACACACTGCAACCCTCTGCCCCAGCCCTGAGCCCCCTCCCACACCCAAACTACTGCTGCTGCTAGGGGCGGGAGGGGGGCCCGGTGGCCCGAGACTGCCCCAGCAGTGGCTGGTGCGGCTGTCCCAGGGGCTGCCCGAGCTGCTCGGGGGACACCATTACCACCACCTGAGAGGGGTCCCTCCTGCTGGCCACCGGACACGGAGCCAGCTGCACTGGCCGCTACGGAAGTCACAGAATCCATGACTTCCATGACAGACACACAGCCTTACTCACTGGCAAATACATTTGTTTTCTTATTTTCCACCTTCAAACCTTCCATTTCGCCCCTTTATTTGGGGATCTCTGACAATCTAGTAAGAGAGCTTTTGGAGTGCTCAGCTGCAGGTCTACAAATGGGATAATGATATAGTCTTAAGAAATAAAAAAAGGAGTTCTGTATGCATCCTACTATTTGCACTGCAAATATATGCTATAAAAATTCCTTGCTAGATTCATTCTGCAGGACAAATATTTTCACAGAACTGTAACAAAATTAAGCCTTTAAACGCCTGATGCTGCATTCTTTGTGCAGTCCAAGCACCCACTGCAGTCAGGGAAGCGAATAGCTCCGTTCACACCAGATACTCATCTACAAGGACTGCTGTACACATGCAAGAACTAACAACCCACAGAGATTTAGTATCTTTCACAAAATGCAATGTATGGTCTTCATGGGATTAAAGGGACAAAAGTCCAGGTTAGATGCCTTGGGATGGCACAGCAACAGCTCCTTGTTCTGGCTCTAGCATCCACAACATACCTCTAATGGGAATCTACCTTAGGACATTAACAAATAACATAATTACAGCCATGTGCCAAAAGTCTCCACAAATGAATTCCCTCACTACAAGAATTCTAAATACTACACAGACTAAGTAACAATCTAGTCTATGAAATAATGTCTTAAAAATATAAATATAATTACAAAATAGCTTAGTTAGTTTACTCTTTTCTGGATCTAAGCAGGAGTATAATTATGGAACAATCTTAGGAACAATTTAAAGAAAGGAAGAAAAAGCAAAGGTTCCTCAAAGAGAAACTGTCCTCAAGTCAGGGAAACTGGATAAGCTGAACAGCCTTTAAAACATTCCTACCTACATTCCTCAAATGTGGAGACTTAGCAAGATGAATTATGTAACGTGCTATCAAACTACTACGCAGTATTTTCTACACTTCAGTCTTAGAAAGAGAGTCCAGATTTAAAGTTAATAAGAATAAGACTGAACTGGATTTGGGCTGTATGTTGACAGAGCAGGGTGAATTGATTTAAATCTTTGATAATTGATTTTAATCTTGTTTTGCATTTGTACTTTTTAGTTATATTCCTAACAAAAAGTAGATTAATTGCTTGGTAAGAAATAAAACATGTGTGTTTGCAAATAGATATAATGCTTACACTAAATTTGGTACTTTCTGCTAACCAGGGGGTAAATAAATATGTGTACATATAGTGTAAGCAATTATATAGTTTAACATGTTTATTGCAAAATGTTTGCATTACGTTAAATGGTGAATGATGCATTTCTTATTTACCAGATGACAAATCACAAGTAAAAAAAATCAAGTTTGATTTGGATGGAAAATGAAATTAAATTTAAAATGCACAAAAATGTTTTAAAATGAATAGATAAATAAAACTAGCTTAAATGTGCTGGATATATGAGAAAAAAGTAAGTATCAAAACTTGTTTGGCATTTTAAAATGATGAAACAAAGTATCTGTAGTTAGTGAACTGAACTGATTGTTTCTGGTCACTTTTGTCGATCTGGGCCCACATCCTTCAAAAATTTAGATTTAGCAGAGCTTGTCATCTCATACCTCATTTAAATCATTGATTGGAAAAGGAAAAGAAGCTTTCCTGATTTTTCAATAACAGTTGGCTTCTCAACTTTGAAAGAGCTAGTAACTGAACTGAATGGGATGAATAAACTGAAAATAAAATATACCCTCTGCACCAGCAAAAGAGGCTACTGCTATGAAAAGCTGGTTTAGCACTTAAAATCTGGTTCCAGATGCTTAGCCAGTGATTTCCTCTAGGTCAGTGGTTTGAATTTCTTTAAAACTTTGGCAACAAACGTGTACTGCCTGAACTTTAATTTAATTTAATGTAACCAATTAATAGATTTTAGTAAATTTATACTTAACACAGATTGTCAATTTCAATGTAATTTTAAATAATTTATTTTTTAAAAATGTATTTAATTTAATAAATCTGATTTAAATCAATTTGATTTTTTTTTAAAAATCACTGATTTTTCCACCCTGTTTGAGAGAGCATATGTACATAAGCTTGATAATTTTATGAATACCACTACGTAGTCCTGCATTCATGCCATCTGGGGCTGGGATTTTGTCAGATATCATATGTAAGCAATATTAGGCCTGGTCCATATTTGCATAGGAGACCACCATTTGCAGCCAAAGCAAACATCCAAGTGGTGGCAGAAGCGATATGGGTGATTTAGGATGGGTGTTCTTCCTTCTGAGTCGGCGGCTGGGGCCTAAGCTCTAAGGGGCTGTGAAACTTGTCAGCCAGAGAGGCAAACTCAAGCTCAAGCCCCTGACCACTTTTAGTCACTGAAGGCCTGTGCATTTTTTGCCCAAGTGGAGGTGTTAGCCCTGGGGTCCTGGCTAAATTCCAACTCAGATTTACATTGTCTTTTTAAATCCTCCCATGTGTATGAAATTTGTTTTTTCTTCACTAAGAAAATTCAGCTGTCATATAATGGCTGCTGCATTCCATTCTGGCCAGTGATCCCTAGTCATACTAAATCTAAAGCATCTTGGAATCTTTCTGGATAAGAGGGTCCTATATAATGTACAGCATTAAATATATTGCTTACAGGATACAAAAGTAATTAGGATTCCTTTAAACAAACAGTATTTTAATACTAACTTATTATTACATTAAGAATTGAAATGCAGCAAAAGCACAGAAAATAATTTAAAGGAAGGAAAGTTAAGTTCCTACAGATACTAGACACTGCAAGTTAAGATACAAATAATAATAAAACCCTGCTCACATAGGAATCCTAACTGATATCAGGGCCACATTATGCTAAGCACTATCTGAACAAAGGCTGAGACAGTCTCTGTCCTGAACAGTTTACAATTTAATAGAAAAAAGATGGAGAGGGGAGAGATATAACATACTATCAGAGCGAACAATATGATGTTCTGCAAGTGTCATGTTAGCGCCACAATATTCTTTTGGGGGTGGGGCAGAGGGTATTATTGGGAAGGAATCAGAGAGAGACAAAGGAAAGGAGAGAAGGCACTGAAGGGGGCAGGGATAAGTGAAGGGAGGAAAGGGGGGGAAGAAAGGGAGCGAGGGAGGCAGGTGGAATAAGGTTGAAGTAAAGAGACTGAAAGGAGTAAACGGACAGCTAATCAGCAAAGGGGAAAAACTTCTAGGGCATTTTGAATGAGGCGTTTGAGGTTGTTAGTTAAGAGTGGTGGGCTCATATAGGATATACTATTTAAGTGGACCATATTGCAAAGTGGTTTGGGCAGAAAACCGAATCAAACATTATGTACATTTGTCTTTTTGTTGTGTTTTACATGTTTTTAACATCTTAGATAGATGTCTTTAATACATTTAATGAAAGAGCCAGAAAGCCATGTCTCCTTTACACAGGGATTGTTAATCAGTCCAAAGGAGGAATAGCTGTAGCATATAGAACGATGGTAACTGATAGTGGGGCATTAATGCAACAGATTCTGGCACTGTAACAGTTTTTCTCCAGCTCCCATTTGGCAGCAGACTTGGTTTCACATTAGAAGAGATTAAATGTATTCTGGAAAAGTCTATCAGAGTAGAAGATATGATTGTGTAGAGCTGGCAAAATAGGAAATGAGACAAGTCAAACAGCAAAAACATTTTAAAATAATAGCACTGTCTCAGTATTGAACTAATCCCAAAGAACTAGAAAATTAAAAAAGAACCAGGGAGGGAAAACATCTTACAGAGTTACATACAACAGATACGCTGATAGTTTTTCTGGAAGAAATTGAACCCTGCAGAAGAAAAGCAGTGGAATTACTAAATGGGCTAGCCTGGAAAAGTAAAGTAAAAGTTTAGAAAGTGTGGTACTTCTGAGTAGACATAGACCAAGTGTCTATCTCTATAGACTATTTAACAGAGCACAATTTTGTTTCCTAATTTAAAATTGATTGTTATGTAAATAGAATTTTTTATACCTTCCTCTGGTGATTCACAGTTTACTCTATCACTCTAAGAAGATACATAAAACAACGAAAATAGCTATTGTTGTACAGCAACTAGCAGATACTGTTTTCCAGAGCTGTGCATATTCATACACATATGATCATTGTAGTTTGCCCAACTTCTGTTCCAGGGGAAATCCCCTTTCCCCCAAAAGATGAGAGGGGAATTCAGCCTTTATAGATCATTCAATCATTGACCTTTCTGCAGACATTGCCAACAGAGAGACCAGTTAGTAATAAAGTTTTTTATTTTTTCCACCCTGATATCCACAGTGGGAACACTATTGTAACCCCCAGCTCTTTTGTTTCAGGCCACCATATAGACATCAAATGTGAACTGCTTTCAATGACTACCTCAGCTTCCTTTAACAGAGAAAACATATAATTTCAGGTGTAAGATGCTATCTGCTCTGAATCCTGAAATGTCAGAGAACAAACCTCAACTAATAGACAGCTGTAACAGCTGTAAGAAAAGCTGACAGTAGCAATAAACCCGAGCTGATGTTGCCAGATTTAGGATGTAATTCCATGTAGTTTATCAAGACCAGCAGCACAAACTCTCTCACCTAAAGTATACATAAAGTTAGTTGCTGTATTTGTGATGGGGCTAGGGTTAGACTCGGGCCTCTCCAATCAGCGGGCATAGCCAGTGCACTGAGGGTATTTGCAAAAAGAAGAAAGCAAAAGAATGTGTTTCTTTAAAAAATGTAAGTAGGTTTTCATCATGACTGAAAAGGAATCAGTTGCCTTTTACAAACAAATATTAGGACATTTGTCACATTTCATTTCTAAATGAAGTTATTTTTCAAAAGTACTTTGGCATAAGAATGGATTCTTCATCAGTGTACAGTGACTATTGATCAAAACTCAAGTTGCACACAATGCCTTCCTTTCCTCCTTGATGATCTTACACGTTACTTACTAGACTCTCACCACATGATTTCCTAAGTTCCAGGGCAACACAAATATGCAGGTACACAGGAAAAAAGGCAGTACTGTTCCTTGCCCATAGATGGACTGGACACACAGCTATTAGCAGCAGCATTCCCAGCACTAAGTAGGTGCCGACACATTACTTTCACAGACAGGATGTGGCAAGAAAGCTAGAACAGTCTGGAATTTAAAGTGCAGAAGGCTACCATCAGACAAGCTTACTGCTCAGAATATCGCATAAAATTTGAATGATACATGCAACATGACTCAGCATCCGTCTCCCATTAACATTATAATTTAGTACTACACTAATATGATTCATCTGCTCTTAAAAAAAACAAAAAAAGTATGTAAGTGTTTTGAGAGAGATTGCCAAAGCTGAAGAAGTCTAAAATTAGATCTGTTCTGTTTGGTGAGCAATCAATCACATGCTTCTTGGGTGTCCCCTCTTCTCTGCCTGCCCCATTTTACTGAACAGGCTAAGGATTCCAATGTGCAAGAAACAAACTGAGGAAGGTCGGCTCCTCATCAAACTTCAGATATAGAAAAGGAAAAACAATTCTAAAAAAACAACGAGGATCTGGTGACACCTTAAAGACTAACAGATTTATCTGGGCATAAGCTTTCGTGTGTAAAAAACCCACTTCTAACTCTACCACTACAGGGGAAAGGGATTGACTCAGGAAAAAAAGAGCAAGAAGATTTAATTTGACACTTTGAAGAATGTCCTTCTAATGTAAAGTTTCACTGTTGAACCCTAAAGAACCTGTTTTGCACCACTTTATTTTGTTGTTCACAGATTACTACCACCAGGGCATGGTTCTCAGGAGACAGGTTTGGTGAAATTTTATTATATGCCACTTGCTTTGTGTTTTTTTTATTACAAGTAAAAGTCAAATTCTTAAAAAAAAACAAAAAAAACTAATTGAAAACTGGGTGCTACAGATGCTCATTATCTCCACCTAAAACAGGGGACACCAACAGATTACTGTCTTGGAAAAGAGGTATCTAGAACTACGTTAATAACTCACAAGAGTGTTCCTTAAATCCTGGATTATATTTCAGAATAAGATTTTCCTTGGCTGCCAGATGTTCATGCTCTTTACCTAACTGATTAATTTCCACAGAGACACTTCGCAGAATCTGATTTTATATATATATATACACAATTTCAGTGGGTAATACTGATTTTATTTATAAACTTTTTTTTAAATGTTTTTTTATTTAAATTTTCACAGTTGTGCAAAATTATGGGGAGAATCAATTAGTTAATGACAGACCCTGAGATTCAAAAAAGCTTTACAGCTGTCAAAACACAAAATGTCAAGTCACATGTCAAAATATATAAAGTAAAAATCCTTAAATGAAACTCTAGTAAGTTGTCAAGCAATACTTTTCATACTTTGCCTGTCAATTTTAATGATCAATGGAAATATTTTTGAGCGTGTGTGTGTGTCCAGTAACACTGACATTTACCAATAAAACTGAATCCTTCCAATCCTATACAGCTCTATGAAAAGAAAGAGCTGGGGAGGAGGGAAGAAGAGAGAAAACGAGACAGCCGTGAAGCCAGAGCTTAGGACAACTGTTCCTGTCTCACGGAGTCAGAGGGGATCTCACAGCTCTACCCCAGGGCCCTGCCCCACCAGCCCCCATCCTGGGAGGGGACGCGCCTACCTTTGGGCACAAGCCCCGCTGCCGCCACAGCTACTCTCGGTGCATCAAGCGCAGCAGGCGCCTGCCTCTTGCGCATTGAGCCGGGTCCGGACCCCGCTCTGAGAGAGGCGGGAGCGTCGGGGGCACGGCCCGGTGGCGCGCCCCGCCCGGGAGAGGCAGGCCCCTGCACTCCGGCCCGGCTGCGGTCACTACGCCAGGGGCGGGGCCGGGCCTGCCGCCTCACCCCGCCCGGAGCCTCGTGCCAGGCCCTCGTGGGGGCAGGCCCAGGGGAGGAGCCTCCCCGTATCCCCACACGGCCGGGGGCGAAGAGAACAAGACCCTCTGCCCCGTCCCGCTGCCGCCCCGCGCTTACCGCTCCAAGCGCCGCCGCCACAGCAGCACCCCCAACCGGCGGGCCTGAGGCGCGGGAGGCAGGCTGGGGGCTGTAGTTCTCTCCGGGACTACAACTCCCGGCAGCCCCTGCGCCGAGTCCCGCCGGAGCCGCTCGTAGGGAGGGAGAACTACAGCTCCCAGCAACCCCTCGGCTTCACACGGGGCCCGCCCCCTTCCCCTCCTCCCTCCCACCGGTACCGGGCGGTTCGAGGGGTCGGCGCTGCCGGGCGAGATCGAACTGATTCGTCGGTATCGGGCCCGCGCTCCGGGCAGCACCTGGCCTCACCTGCCCGACCCCGGCCGCCTGCGCTGGGACATGGACCCCGACCCCTGCGCCTCCCCCTTCCCCCCTGAGGTGAGCCCGGGGCCGTCTCCGCGCTGTCCCCTGCCCCTCCTCGTGCCGGAGCCCGGGACCTGCCCCGCGGCAGCCGCCCTCCCCGCTCAGCGATCCCCGGGCCCCTCAGTGAGAGCCTCCACCCAGAGCCCCGCCCACCCCAGGGCCGTGTCCCCCCTCCGGGATCCCCCATCCCCCGAGGGCCCCTCTACCCAGAGATCCGCCCCCTGCCCCAGGGCCCCCGAGATCTCCCAACCCCCTCAGGCGCCGATCTCCCACCCGACCCCTTTCCCCCCCCACGCGGTCCCCGCCCACCCGAGGGCCTCGACCCCCCGCTCAGAGATTCCCCCCCAGGGCCCCAGCCCCCCACCAGTCTTCCACCCTGGGCTCTGACCCTCTTCCTCCTCAGAAATTCTCCCCCTCCCAGGGCCCTGAACACCACGCCCACCCAGAGAGCTGCCTCTCCCAGCTCAGAACCCAGGGCTGAGACACCTTGCTGAACTTGGGGCTCTGATCCCCCTCTACACCTCTCCAAACCCTCGTAGAGAGCCATTTCTTGCACCCTCTTTCCCCATCTGAGCCCCCCCATCACTGGGATTTAATCCCCTCTTCCCAGGAGTCAGAGCCCCTCATCCAATGATCTGGTCCCCTTCAGACTCTTCCACTCCACGTCTGCTGTCTAATCCTCCTCCCCCATCACAGATGGAGGAGATTTTGCGGTTGTTTCCAGTGCTGCTCCCCATGCAGAAATGGCTTCTTTGGACAGTGACTTTCTCAGGCAGTGTCCAGTGCAGACAGGGAAATAGGGAAGATTGCAGGCGGGGAGGACAGGATTTCTCAGCAGCCTGTCTTGCTTTTTGACAGTTCAGTTCAAAGTGTGGGTTGGGACTAGATACACCTCTACCCTGATATAATCCTGCCTTTGGGAGCCAAAAAATCTTACCGCGTTATAGGTGAAACCACATTATATCGAACTTGCTTTGATCCGCTGGAGCGCGCAGCCCCCCCACCCCGAGCGCTGCTTTACCACGTTCTATCCGAATTTGTGTTATATCGGGGTAGAGGTTTACAAATACATTCCGTATTTGTTTGTATTTCACTGGGGTTGGGGATGGAAGGGTTATCATGAAACTGGGCATTGGATAGTTCTTTGGAGTCTCAATACAAAAATATAAAAAACTGTAAGCCCTGAAGAAGTATTCTGTGTCCAGGCAGACTCTCCATGTGTAGTTAGTCTGCTGTTTCCAGCAGCTTTGAGTTCTGGGTAGGAGCCATGATGTAGACTTTGCACCAGAAAGAGAACAGCAATCAGTGAATTTAACTTATCAGTTACATTAACAGGATATGCAGACTTCACAGTACCCAAACAGCTGTTTTAATGACTGGTTAGCTTCTTCCCTGACTTTAATAGCTGACTTTAAAGAAGCATTTGTGTTCAATACAATATTAGACCCTAACGCTGTTAGAAACCACTGCTGGAAACAGGCATGTGGGAATACCTGGAAGGGGAGCCAGACAAACCTGAGAATTCAATTTCAGCAAAAAGCCCTGACAAGCCTGTTAAATCACAGGATTGCCCCCAGGTGCCCTCTCTTGCATTTTGACTATCTAAGAGACACTCTGAAACTATCAATCTCAGAGGTGGATATCCATGTGTACAAAATCCTTATGTTGTCTCTGATTTGACATTATCGCTAGTTTGTTCAGCAATTTCATGTTAATGTTCTGGTTGTTGTCTCTTTAACAGGATTTTTCTCCCAGCTCCAAGAGACACAGAACTGTGGAAGATTTCAACAAATTTTGCACCTTTGTCTTGGCATATGCTGGCTACATCCCCTATCCACAAGAGGTAATGGTGCAGCAACTCAATCTTTATTTTATTTCAGGTACACATTGCTATAGCTAGTGCTGTTGATAGGTTAAATGTTATCAGGGTGACAAGCATGGTATAAATACCTAGATAGATAAAGTGGATGTGTTTGAGGGGTAAGGTCCTGTAAAAGCTCCTGATGGGACAAAAAGGAACCCACTGGCCTATGATGTTCTGAAACAAATTATGGAACTTGGAACGTAACTTGATATTGTCAGCCTCCCACTTTAGCCACAAATGTCCCTACACTTATAAAGTTAAATGTAATCCTCAGGCTCCTGGAATATGATGTAAGCTCTTCTTTAATCAAAAGTGAGGCAGTCCAAACCACTGTCTTGCTTGAGGGGACAGAAAAAAGTTTAAAGGTCAGTAAGTACCATTTCTGTTCAAATCATTTGATTGGTGAATGATTTCTGTGCAGTGTAAAAATATTATGTTAGAGGTATTCATGCCAGAGTCCCCTCCCCTTTGTATCCTAGGCCTAGGCAGCCACAAATTTCAGATTGCCACGCAACCTTTAAAATGAGCCAGTTGTTTTCCTTGTCTGGAATTCCCAGCAGGGGCTTAGGATACAAAGCACTTGGAAGGAATTGGGAGTCTGGACTCCTGGAAACACTTTACTGAAAATTATTTAGTGCCTTTAACACTCAGCTGTACCTGTCCTGGGCCACAGGTAAGGATGAAAGAAAGTAAATAATGTAGGCTAGTGGTTGGATAAGTGGAGATGATCTGATTTTTAGTTACACAGGGAGCCTGTTGTGACAAGTATAGATCCTTCCCCATCCTCCCTCTTCAAAAAGGTGGGTGTAATAAGTGTTTGTCTAAGAGGTTTATTATCAACTCTAAAATTATACTCACATCTGGTCTCTTAATATTTTCTAGGAGACCCCCTTGAGGAGCAGCCCCAGCCCCCCCAATAGTACTGGAGGTACCATCGACAGTGATAGCTGGGACCCCCGATTCAACGACCTCCCTTCTGCTGTCTCCCTGCCAGTCAAGAGCAGAAAGAGCTTTAGTCAGCTCAAGCGAGCAAAACCATATGTTTCCCTATTCCAGCGGGCAAAACCGAGCAGCTTTCTGCCAGAGCGAAAGCAAACCGATAAGATCAGAAAGAAGAAGAAACTGAAGAGAAGAGAAACGGAAGCGCCTGTGGAGGAAGAATATGGGGGGAAGCTGCTGAAGTTAGAGGCGGAGGATTCTTATGTTGAGACCCCCATGAGTCCCTCATCTGAGGGTGATCCTCGGTCTGTGACTGACCATTGCTCAGTTTGGGACTCTGACACTCCTTCCAATGTCTCGTACCCTCCTGAGACTGCTGAGCAGGGCATGGAGATACAGAGCGTGGGCAAACGCACGGTCATACGGCAGGGCAAGCAGGTTGTGTTTCGGGATGAGGATGGCACTGGTGATGATGAGGACATTATGGTGGATTCAGGTAAACAACCCTGCTAAGGGGAGATATTTGTGAGGTGTTTAGTCAGATTGAGATCATAGGTGGCTATCATCTATCTATCTGGTATGTTATTAGCACTCAACTCCCCTATAAAATGGGATAGTGCAGATCTGTCTCCTGGGGGGATTTAAGGACAAAATTCAGTAGTGTTTGCAAAGCACTTTTAGATCTTTGGATAGAAGTGGGTAGAGAGGAGCAAAGAATGTTTATTGCTTAGTGACCTAGCACCTGAATTAAGCTTTCCAGACTCTGAGGTGAGGGTTTCTTCCCATAAGCTGTGTTTTCTGAGAGGCTTAATGTAAACTGGACAGAAAGTTGGAAGCTAGTTTTGGGAGTTGAGCCCTTTTCTTTCCATATTTACCCTCTGGGTTTGCTGAGATTCTATCCTTGAGCAAGGTGCAGGAGGCCGTAGAGGGTGCAGACTACAGCTTCTGGCATGCCCTGGAAAGGGCTTGTCAATTTCCTCCTGCTGGACATTCACCAGGCTGCTGTATTTAGGTCCCAGCACTGGGCCCATGAGCTCTTAAGTTTTCCTGACTCTGAGTGGAGTTCAGACACTGTTTCTAGGCACACTTTCAGGGTGCACATTCACTTTCTAACTCCCTTTTCTGAAAGCAGAGACTCTGCAGTCCAATTGCCTAAGCCTTAAGATGAGTTCCGTCTTCCCCGAAACTCCACAGTTGCTTCACATCCTGCCTAGAGCTCTAACCACGTGGGCACCCTGGCTTCCAATTTACTTCTTCAGGGACACATGATCATTGAAGCAGATGAACACACACTTTGCAGAAGGTTTCTAACACAATTACCCTACATACTGGTGTAGGCAAAATAAAAAACAGCTACACACCGGTCCCTGTTTCACTTTTCTCGCCACTCTTGAGTGTTTTGGGGGTTTGGGTCAGCATCCTTTCAGGGTGTCCAGGATACTCTTCCTACAGCTCAAGGCTTGTCCTTCATAATATGGAGTATCTTCCTCTCCTGCAGGCAGCTTCCTCCAGCCTTAGCTGGTACTACCTTCAAAAAGTTCCTTCTGTTAAAAAAGCATGGCCCTTTGTTGCTCTCTCATGCCCCAAGCTTCTTTTGTCTGTCTGACCAGCCCAGTCTCTGTGTTTTAAAGGGTTGTCTGTACCCACACCTCATCTTTGTTCCCTCCACTGGGGAAGTTGGAGGAAAAATGGTTTTATCTAGGATGCAGTTACTCCTTTGTTCTGTACAGGAAAGGTCTGTTCAGGTATGGTAGTCTTTAATGACTGACCTATTCAGAGATAGACGTGTAGGGTCCACTCCCATCTCCCCTGAGCATAAGGAGTATGAGGCAAGAACACAGTGCAGTTTACCATAATGGCTTCAACGTACAGAGTTCATAATTACAAACGGAACTCATAGACTGAACAGTGGCAGATTCCCCAAATCATCACAGGCCTGTAGGGACTGCCTTTAAACCATGGAATAAGTTCAGCGCCAAAAGAGAGAGTTCGGCGTGCAGCAGGAGGAAAGAAGTAATAGTTTTAACTTGCTGTTTTTTTCCTTCCAGATGATGATTCCTGGGATCTCGTCACCTGTTTCTGCATGAAACCTTTTGCTGGACGGCCAATGATTGAATGTAATGAGTGTCACACCTGGATTCACCTCTCCTGTGCCAAAATCCGGAAATCAAATGTTCCAGAGATCTATGTCTGCCAGAAGTGCCGGGACTCCAAGTTTGATATTCGCCGCTCAAACCGCTCCCGGATGGGTTCACGCAGGCGCTTTCTGGACTAGTGGAGGGAACTACCGTGCCGGCATACTGTTTGGGCAGATTAGCCATGCAAAACACAGAACTCCAGCCAGGGGGGCAAGAGAGCTCCTCTGAACTGCAGTTGCTCAGGCAAAAGTGTCTGTCTGTGTAAACAGACATAAGGTATTCAATGTCTTTGATTGCCAGAGCTGGAAGAGGCCTGCTGGCCAAAATTTCTGCTAGAGGCTGAATAGCTTTAGCAGGGACACACTAAGCACCCCAGGTTCAGTGGGATTTTGTCCAGTTCAGACTATGAATGGGATGATGATTTGGGAGTGTTTACCTTTGCCACCTATCAATTTTCATCCCACTGGGAAAGTGTTAAGAAAGTGCAAGACTTCTAGGTGCTGAAGAAAATAATTATCCTCCAGAGCAGGAGGAGAGAAATCTCTGAAGAGTCTGAAAATAAACAGCCATATGTTTTATTGTAATAGTAGACCTGCCCATTTGTCCATATGTATCAATCTTAAGAATTTCTGAAGTCTCCTTCAGAGTGAACTTGAATGCACACTGAACTCACATGTGACCTGCCTCCCCTTCAGCTGGGTAGTAGGAGAGTATCCATTGAGTTCTATGATTTGGCTTTGTTTCTGGTAAAACCAGTTTAGTTCCCACAGCTCTATGGACTGTTGTCTTTAAAAGAGAGATACAGACCTTTCTTTTTTCTGGGTGGGCTGTACTGGAGGTGGCCATGTCAGTTTTCTTCCTTAGTTAAGCTGTGTCCTCTTAAAACCATTTTCATGAGTGACTCAAACATGAGGTTGTGGGCTGCCATCCACTCTGTTCCACAGCCCTGTGTGGTGTCTCATTTCAGAGATCTCAGCTGAAAAGCATTGTTTTAGGAGACACCAATTCCCTTCCCTCCTCCAGCCTGGAAGTAAAGCTTGGGCTGCACAGTGGGCCTTGATAAATTAAAATCTAGGAATTTAGACAGGCCTAGTTTGGATTTGGGCTGTCCCCATCTGAGTACTGGGGCTGGGTTTACCTGCATTTTCATCAAAGATTTACAAATCCAGCCCAGGAAACCATTAAACTGGTGGATGCACATACATTAATTTGCTCCCATTTGTATATTAGGGCATCCAGCCCAATCCTGGATAGCTGGCCTATGCAACTGGCAAGGTGGGCTGCAGTTGAGAGAACAATCCAGAGCTGCAGAGGATAAGGGAATGCATTGGGACCAGAAAATGTTTATATCTTGTGACTGCCCTTTTAGGGAGCAGAAAGCGCAGTGGTCACTGGTCTAGAGAATGCTTCAGGGAAACAAGACTGGTACGTGAGGCCACTAAGGTGTAGGCGCTTTCCTTTTAAATGACCAAATTGAGAATACATTGTATTTATTGCACAAACTGGATCTTTGTTCTTGAGAGAATTCTCCTAAATTCTATGATGCTTAATGAACAATGGACATTCTGTCCTGTCAGACTATTAGATGAGCGGGAGTCACTAACTGATGTTCATTTATATCTGAAAGAAGACAGAACTGCCAGGAATCAATGCAGCAGATGCTTTGTATCAGACTGCCACATTATTTGAATACTGATTTATCAGGAAAAACATCCTGGCAGTGTCAGGGACTCCCTTTGGACATTTAACACTAGGCTGCGCAGAGTACTAGAACAGATTGTATAGCATAGTCCTACAATGCCCAGGGCGTTGATTGGATGGGACCTAATGATGGAAAAGATCCATTACTTTTTATCATTATGATCGAACTGCACTATTTTATTGTCCATTTTAAAACTTGGTGCAGTTTGAAAAGCCCATAAAATGAATTTGATTTATAGCTGCAGCAATTGAAATCTGGTTTTATAAACAAGCTCCACTAAAATCTAAGACAACCATGATACACTACCAGAAGCTAAATGGAACCAGGAGTTTGCCAAAGATTTGCGTCATAGGGCTGTCTTCTGCAGCCAGATAAATAACCAAAGTTCCCAAGTGTTGCTGTTTTCACTGCAACATACAAGGCTTTGGAAGAAGATTCTGTTCATAGTCTGTATAAGGGTTTGACCTGATGCAAGTGTTGGCATCTTTGTGTCTATGGCACATCTGCAGTACAACTGGACCACTATAGGATAAGTTCCTGTTGTTTTATGGGAGAAATACAAGAAACTGTGAAGTGAGCTGCCTCTGTTTCTTACAGGTTCAAGATTACTTTTAACTCTTTTGACTCTTGTTCTGTTACCTTTGCAGATTTACCCCAATAGATGGTGTCTGACAACCCCAGCATGTTACAATGTTAGTAGAAGAGGGAACAACCATGTCCATGTGTTTTGAGTTAATCACTTTCATCTATGTATGATTACAAGTTAATTCAGAGCTTTATTTTTTCATTAAAAGTGGTTATTTTAACAAAGGGTGCTTTTTTCTTAAAAATATGAAGCATCCATTAATGTGATCGTTTTCTCTTTTGCTTTTTCCTCCCTGGGTTTGAAGTTAGGATTCTATTATGTTTCCATAGTGGACAGAGGCCCTAATGAGTGTCCAGTAGGGCTAGGTGATGGAAAACATCCATCTGGCAGAGCTTGCAATATACAAAATCAAATGACCGAGGGAGGGTGGGGAGTGATGCCATCAAATATACACAATTTTATATATATTGTTCTTTATCCAGTAGGAAGGGGGCAGAGTTGGGAAGGAGAGGGAAGCAGCTGGTGTCTGCTGTGGTGCTCGGGATTCAAGAAGGACTGACTTGACGAGAAGATGATCTTGGCAGCTGTATTTTTCTTGTCTGCTGCTGATGGGCTGAGGGCAAGGTGGGAGGGAAGGGGCCCGCTCAGAGGTAGGGCGGCCGTACTACTGCCAACTGATGATTGTAGGGGTGACGCTCGAGCTATTGGGCAATTTTTTATCGGCCCAGCCCCGCAAGCCGGGGGGACCTCAGCTCCCGCACAAAGCGACGCCCTCCCCGCAGGGGGCGGAGGCAGCCCGACCCAGGGCGGGGGGGCGCTGAGCTGCCTGGGGGTCACGGGCGGGGCGGGGAAGCCGGCGCTCGCTGTCGTTTCTCCGCGATGTCCCCCAGCTCCCCACGGGCGCGGCCCAGGCGCAACTGGTGGAGCACGAGTGACCCGCTCCACCCCTCAGGCGACTGCTCAAACTACAACTCCCAGCCTGCCCTGCGGCCCAGGGACTACAACTCCCAGCCTGCTCTGCGCACAACCCGTCAAGCGACGCTGGGAGCAGGCGTGAAAGAAGGGAGAGGCGCGATGCATGCTGGGAAAGGCCGTCATTGCCGGGCGGAGTCTCGCTCGCTCTGCCCCGTGGGGGAGGGGGAAAGCAGACCGCTTGGCCCCCGCGCGGGAAATCCGCCCCGGAAGGCGCGTACTGCAGGGGGCGCCTAGGGTCCGCGGAGGGGGCGCAGCCATCTTTGTTGGGGGCAACGCGCGATGCCCAAATCGTGCGCGGCGCTTCGGTGCAGTAACCGCTATAGCAGCCGCTGCCGGCAGCAGCTCACCTTCCACAGGTACCGCCCGACCCCTCCAGGTACCAGGGCCCGGCCCCTCTCCTCCCCCTTCCCTCAGGTACCGGGCCTTGGCCCCTCCCCCCTTCCCCCAGGTACCGGCCCCTCCCCCCCTTCCCTCAGGTACCCAGGGCCCGGCCCCTCCCCCCTTCCCCCAGGTACCGGCCCCTTCCCTCAGGTACCGGGCCCTGCCCCTCCCCCCTTTCCCCAGGTACCGGGGCCCGGCCCGGCCCCTCCCCCGAGACCTGGGCCGGTCTCCCCCCGCCCAGCCTCACCCCGCTGTCTCCCGCAGGTTCCCGTTCAGCCGGCCCGAGCTGCTGGCGCGCTGGGTGGGGAACATTGGCCGTGGCGATTTCCAGCCCAGCTCGCACACGGTGCTCTGCTCGCAGCACTTCCAGCCCGACTGCTTCAGCGCCTTCGGCAACCGCACCAACCTCAAGCCCAACGCCGTGCCCACGCTCTTCGCCTTCCCCCGCACCGCCAGGGTGAGCCGGGCAGGGCCAAGTTCTAGGGGTGCCAATGTCGGTAGGCTGTAGTCCTGGAGATCTCATCACGTGACAATCTTTAATTAAAGATTAATTCCTGGAGGCCAGGCCAATCCTGGAGACTTGGTAACCCCACCGGGTTCTAGTCCTGGTTGTGGGAGAGGGGTGGGAGCTAGTGGGTAGAGCAGGGGCTGTGCATGACACTGGGGAGCTTACTGGACACTAGGCTCCCCCCTTCTTTTTCTGTACAATGGGGACAACATAACGGACAGGGCTCTGTCCTCCCCCACAAAGGGCATCACTTCATTTCACATCCCATGTGAGCGGTTCCTCAGGGTCCCAAATGCTTTGCCCCTTGCATTAGTCAAGGAGCCACTCCCTGCTATGGATTTTTATGATGAAGTCAATTCCCAATCACGATTAACCTAAGCCTGCTCCCACTGAAATCAGTACTAAAAATGCCATATCTAGTAGCAGAGTGGTCAGATCTAATTGTGTGTTTGATATACTTGGGCTGCTGGCAGTGCTGGGAAAATATTAGGTGCTCCTGGTAATAATAGCAATTAATCTTTAGCTGCTCTCCTTACACTTACAACTTCTCAATATGCTGCAACAACAAATATTCCGATTTCTACCTTATGAAAGAGGTTCTTGAAAAACGGCATCCTGAACACAAATTCCTTCTTATATATGGAGATATACCTATCTCATAGAACTGGAAGGGACCCTGAAAGGTCATCGAATCCAGCCCCCTGCCTTCAGTAGCAGGACCAAGTACTGATTTTGCCCCAGATCCTTAAGTGGCCCCCTCAAGGATTGAACTCACATCCCTGGGTTTAGCTGGCCAATGCTCAATATCCCTCCCCTCAAAGTGAATTCCCACACATTTATTCATGCAAACCATACATGTTTAAAATACTGACAGATGACGGAAGCATGTTCCACTCTCCTTGTAACAATTCAAATAGTACACAAGACAAAACTACGACTCTTGGCTAGAGTAGCCACAAGTTCCCTCCCCCTCAGTTCTAGCTAAAAACCTGACAAGTGCTATTCTACAAACTGCCCTACCCCTTTCAAAAGTAAAGGGGGAGAAGAGAGCCTACCAGGTCTGAGAGAGATGCTAGTTCACCTGGAATTGATTATTTATATAAGGTCAGTTAGAACTAACCCACAAAGAGTTTATGCATGTATACACATCACCCAGTCTTATTCCCATTCTGCTTAGTCAAACATTAAACAGGGGAAGTTTTTGTTAAAACCTTGTGTGAAGCTTAAGGCTACAATACTACATTGTCCTGAGGAGCGTGATCATTTTTTATTGCGGTCTTTTTTCCTTGGAGAGCCAAGAATGTTGTATGTGGTTTCCTTCCAAATGGGAGTCAGACTTGGACAGCAAGTAGCACTGGGATTCTCAGAAATGTCACGCGAACCTGAGGGCCTTGTCCTCACTATAGCAAATCAGGAAGGAGACAAGCCCTCTACAATACATGATGCTGAGGATTCCAAATTGCCTACGGTACATTTGTCCCTTCCAGCCTTTGGCACCTTTTTTTTTTAACCTGAGGCAGTGCTGCATTTTGCTGTACAGCACATGGTGATTCTCTAGAATTTGGGGTTCCTTCTCACTGAAATACCCCCTTTTTGTAGATACACCTCTACCTCGATAGAACGCTGTCCTCGGGAGCCAAAAAATCTTACCGCGTTATATTGAACTTGCTTTGATCCACCGGAGTGCACAGCCCCGGAGCACTGCTTTATATCGTGTTATATCGGGGTGGAGGTGTACTTGTCTAAATATGCCAAATGGTGTGAAGCGAGTATTTTCACTGGATGGCATTGGAGCAAGCTAAAATTTCAGTCCCAATTGCTTATCACTTCTATTTAAATTCCAGTTAGTAATTTTGTACTTTATGTTGAAATAAAAATGAAGGCCTAAAGGGAGTATATGGCTCATTTACACTGACCGTGGCTCCTGGAACAGAGATCCCTTTAAGCTGTAACACTAGTGGTGTTGAAAATAAGAGCTGATTGAGTTTGGGTAATTCCCTGGTCTCTTTAGGACTTTACAAGGACAGAGGATGGAAGGAGATTAGATGAAGAAACTGTTCTGCACCAAGAGCCCCAACCCAGTAGAACAGAGGAACCAAGAGAAGAGGTAAGAGAGTTAGTCACTTTACCTCACATCTTAGGCAAAATCAAACATTTTTGACAATTACACACAGCTGAGCTCGAAGCACTAGAGAGACAGGGAAGCAGAAATGAGTGAATGTTTTGTTACTTCATATAGAAAAGAACTGGCGATAGAGGCCCTGTGACTCTTGACTTGAAATCTTAATATGATTCCTACAGAACTGGAGAGCAAGCACCCATTGAGCTTTGGTGACTTGATCTTGTTTCAAGAATAATTCAATTTTCATTAAGTATATTCAGGGGAATTGGGTAAGACCCCAGCCACTGCTAGTTTCTGGGGATTTGACTTCAAACACAGAAGATCCCACGTGAAGAGAGTTCAGTGCTGAGTTTGGGAATATCTGTCCATTACAAAAACTGCCATGCAATTTGCCTGAAAAAAAATTGTCTGGTGGTTACAGCAGGAACTGGGGAGTCAGGAGACCTGGATTATATTGTTGGGTCTGCGACTGACTAGCTGTGTGTTGAGCAAATCACTTCCTCTTACTGTACAATGAGGAGAATGCAAACCTCCCCTGTGAAATATGGAGACACTAGTCTCAGAGAGAGAGAAGGGCAAAGTAACATGGCTAGTAGGAAAGCTTCTGCTTGACTCCCAGGATTGGACTGGGGGCTGCTCAGGGTGAGGTGCATTAGTCATGTTGTGGAAGAAGCTTGCATAGTGTCTCCCTGCATAATACCCATCCAGCCAAGCTCTGCATCCCTCACTTTCACTCCCTGTGTTCTTTTCAGGTTAGCACAACTAAGGCACCAGAAGTGGAGGGCCGGCTGCTGCAATCCAGGCCCCCAGTGCAGAGACACCACCCAGTTCAGACCTCAGATCACAACTATGCTGTCAGTGACTGTGCTTCCTTAAAACAAAAACTTTTCCAGGCACTAGAGGAAAATGAAAAACTGCAAAAACGCCTGAAGGTTAAAAGCATGGCTCTGAGGAGGATGTTTGTGCGGCTCCAGGCCTGCAAAAAGGAGCAGCAAAAACACCAGGCCAGACAGCCTGGTGGGAGGGAACAGGGCCTGACTTTCTGAAAACTCATCTACACCAGCAAGAACTGTGGTTTGACAGGCTGTCGGCTAGAGTACTTTATAGAGTGAGTAACGTACTCACTACTGTTTCTGATGAGCATAGCTTAAAGTTCACATACATCATAACTACCCAGCATGCACATGGTCAAATGAGAACTAGCAAAGGGAACTTGGCTGAGAAATAGAATGCAAAAAATTCCCGAAACCTGAACTTCTTGCCTCAGCATTTGTAATCTAAATGCCTTTCTAATAAAGTAAGAATGCCAGGTGTATACGGGTCTGTGAGAAGAGACTCTGGGAACTTTTCTGGCAATTACATTTAGTTAAGCTAATGTTAAATCCTATAGACATTGTCTTTTCGAGGTGTGAAGTAATTCCAAAGTTGTAGAACTACTGCATGGGCCAGAGACCACTTCTGTAAGTCATGGTGCTAGCTCTTTTCTCTCCATCCCATTCAGTATAATTTATATGAAAATAGATTTTCATGACAGCAAAAACTGTATTATAGCTATTTACATCAGGCAAACATCAGTGAGAGGGTAAATGATTTTATTCTTGTATAAAGTTAATGAATTATTGTTTAATGTTTCATCTCTATTCTGTGGCTGGATTTTATCTGCTCTGTTGGGATTTTTTCTTATAATTAACAGCAAATGTTTTACAGCTATTTTATACCTACTACTACTTGCATCTCAGCCTTTACTCAATCCCCACACAATCCTGTTACGGGAAATTCTGTTACAGTAGCCAGAGCAACCTCGTTCTAAGCCCCCTACAAACACAGATGAGACAGTTCCTTCCTAAGAAGAGCTTACATCTGAGACTAAGATACAATAATAAAAAGAAAAGCTGGTGGTAGGTGGAAGAGGTGATGCACATTTGAGTATTTTATTGAAGATGCTGGCATCCTGCCCAGCCATCACATAGCAACTTATTGTAAAAACCACCATTCACAGTGCATCTTGAGGAAGGATTTGAAAGAGGCCAAGCTTGAATTTATAAAAATATAACTAACTCACCACCCATAGCTTTCAAAGAGGATTTATTATGACAATACAGTGTTTTCTCTTCCACCAGCTTTAAACAAGGTGAAGTAATCAATGTGTGGAAGATCCATCTGCAGCAAAGGAAACACCGGGGAGTTTTCAACTGAAAATTGATTCAACACAAAATTTATTGCACAGTTGACACTTAGCTTCAGATCAAAAAACACTGTGAGATGGTAGTGAATGAAATGCATTCCTAGAACAGGCGCTATTCACGCATAAAAAGGTGAGATTTTTCTGATAAAAAAACTGGCAAGCAGCACTTGATTGTAGGAACAAGGAGGGGAGAGATAATTATCAGCTTTCCTGGAATAGCTGTGATAAACCTGCTCTTGGACAAGGACTATTGGAAATGAAATTCCCTGATGTGATTTCACGCTTATGAGGGGGAGATAGGACTGACATAAGTAAACACAACAGCAGTTACACTAAAGAAATAAGGGGCCAAGGTGCATGTCATGAAGTTATTTACTCCAGTAGTTATCAGTAGCAACAATGCCTCTGTCCATATGCGCATCTTCCTAAATCTCTTGCATATAAATGGTGAACGGCCCGCCCCCCCCCCCCCAGGACTGGCCAAGAGTAGAACTACATTTCAGTGCCTGCGTAATAGCCGCCACTCTCCCTTTTATATAAATATCTAAAAGTACTAAGATGCCAAATACTTAATAGTGCTATTACCAGCAGCCCTGCTGCTTTCAGCTATGTTGGTAGAGCAAGAGTGCACCTCTCTAGAGGTAAGATAAATCACAGGCAGGGGTTGCATCCTAAGGCTATTCTAGAGAATCTAGCCCCTCAGACTGGTGGCAGTCACTGTTTTGAAGTTTTCAGTTGTTCCTCCTATTTGGCACATCTCTACACTTTGGTCGGGTTTAGTTGTATCAACTTAATTTCCCTCTTTTCCCAGCATAAAATCAGATGGGAAGAGTTGCAGCACCAGAATCAGCAAGGAACAGAACTATTCAGTTAATCTAATTCACTTTTCCCTCCAAAAAGACTTAAAACAACATGCAGTCCTGGGTGAGGTGGAGCAAAATTAATTTGACATGGACAGTGGTTATAATCTATAATTAACCTGGAGTAATAATAGTGCTTGGAACGAATGCTACTGGCAGCTGGATGGAAGCATGCTGAAAAAGGTCCACGTGATTAGGAAAAGCAGAGAACTTCATTCTAAACGTACTTGTCCTTAAACAAAAAGTACATTTTAAATAAAGAAGTGGGATGAACAGCACATCCTCTGTCCAGTAACAGGATTGATAGAGAGGATTCTTAGGAGGTGGCCACAAACTTCAGTTTCCCCGTAGGAGCAGAAAGGGTTAAATTAGCTATTTGTTTTCAGTTAACTTAACCCCAACCCTGTAAGCTTGAGGGAAAGGGAGAGCGAAGAGTCCTCCTTCACTTCCCATCTTGCTGACAGTGAGAGGAAACAATGAGACTGGACAAATGAGCTGCAGTTAAGTCACAGCAGGAAGGGCTTGGACACATGACAGCTGGGGCTCTACCCGTCACACCTCCCAGGCAGGTGATGGGTACGCAGAGAGCACTGCATGTTCTCAGTCATGTTCCCTATTGGCTGCCAAGCCACAATCCAGGGCAGTATTGCCTTGGAGGTACCTGTAAGAACAGGTTTTCTCGTTACCTCTTAACATAATTGGTATGACACCGCCTTCTATATGGATCATAAAAATAAAAACATCTCAGTTTCAGTTTCAAACTTGTAGAATCCAGGAGGAAGGTTTTGCAGCTTCTGTTGATTCAGGTACCATACATGACACCCTGCTTTCTCACCACATTAGCCGTCCGCATCAATCCTGTGAGCTGTTAAGAACAAATGGACTCAGTTCATGTTTATTAATAGAGATGTCCTAACTCTCAGCAACGTTTACCATAGTGTCAGTTGCAGAACAGAATTACTAGCAGCAAAGGAAATCACTGAATGCAAGACTCTCACCAACTTACAAAAGCATCAATAGTAAGAGATTGATCACTTAGAAACCAGAATTCTCCAAAGGGCAGCACACAGTCTGAGGTGCCCAAGACTGGTTTAGAAAGGACTTGTACTCTTCAGCCAAATCACAATGCAGCTATTCGTTAGAGAGACATCCAGAACAGGCTAACTCCTCAAAGCTTAATGGCTCCACTGTCCCTGGAAGAGCACTTGCACAATTGAGACATCCTAACTAGCCACAGCAAGGCATCACTGATGCCAGACACTGCGATGGACTGCAGCCCAGTGAATTGTGTGTGTGTGGGTGGGGGGGGGGCTGAGGGGATCCTGTCCTCTCTGCTGGAATTGGGGCTTGGTGACTGGAGGAAGGAGAACGCAATCCTTGCTACTTACATTGCTTTGGTATCCTAAGGGCCTCGCTGTCAGCAGACATCACTTGATGTAGAACTCCCCGAAACTGATACAGCACTTTCAAACTCTTCTCTTCGCCCACACAAGGGTCATAGAACCCAGGCAGCCCAGCCTTCAACAACGAAAACAACACACTGAGCATTCTCACAGTTCTCCCACTGGTGTTTTTAGGTTACAATAGAAAGAGGGAGTTTTAAAAGGAGTTGAAGGTTTCCTGCACATGGGACACCATCAGCACCAACTAATTAATGTAAAACATTAGTTAAAGACACTTTCAATTACATCTGCCTAAAGGTTGGTTTTATAATTAAATTTTCCTATTTTATTAAATATTTTTCTCCCCCTGCAGCTGAGTGAGAGACTCTCACAAACAACAAGGGAAACTGACTGTGTAGGGAAATCAGCAGAAGTGACTATGAAGTGCAGCCAAGGTAAAGTAAATTCAAAGTAAATAAAAAAATAATTCTCCCTTTAATCTTTCTGCTAATGGTTTTAGGCATTATTTATAATAATAGCAGGTAAATAATTTTCAGACCTGTAATTTTCAAGATGACAGTGTCCCTTTAACATCCAACATTTGTTAAATGCATCTGATTCGCCCACTGACCTACAGTAGTTATTACATATCTGATAATATAATTGAGCGAGGCCTTCCATTCCTATACAAGCCATGGACATTCAGGAAAAGTGTCAGCTCTGTTAGGTGTTCATGGTGGTTATTTAAACTATCATTTAAGAGTACTTTAGAGCAGCTCTTTTTGTGGATGCACTTGTTCTGGATTAGAGTTTACTTCTAGTTTGTTTGCCTGCACTCTGCCAGGGGAGGATGAGGTGGTGCAGGACTGGGATGTGCAGGGCCTGCAACAAAGGTTAACGCCCACGAGGCAATTCAGCACATGTCATTGCATACCTTGGAGGCCTCCGTGAGGATAAGCTTAGAGTCCTTCACCAAGCACTGCAGGGGCACGGTCACATCTATGACTTTCACTTTCTCGTTCTTCCTGCTATTGTCATTGACAAACTTCCCATACCAGGCATTCACTATTATCAAACCTGCATTCCACACAAGAACAAAGATATGGCAAAAGGCTCCCCCAGGTATCTGTAGAGAAACTAATGAAGAGATCAGCCTCCCACCCCCCTTCCTAGCATTCTTCTCATACTGCCAGAGGGAACCGTTTTCAAGAAAGAGTGTTGGAAGGGCAAATACAGAGCTTTCCTCAAAAAAATTCAAAATCATGCACAATGCTAGGCCAAGCCCAACCTGGGAACGAAAGGAGTATTTCAACTAGGACTTAAGGAAAATTCCTGCACTGACCTGATCCCCCTATAACACCAAATCAAATGAGTGGTGAACCTCCCCCAGGGACTGAGGCACATACAACATTCCCCGAACCCCACTTCCCCACCCAGGGCCATCCCAAGGTAGAGCCACATTGCCACTTTAACAGTCATCATTAAGATCTGGAGTTAACCATATGGACATAAAAGTGGCAGCTCCCCGCGCTGTCGCTGGGGAGCGGGGTCGGGGGCCGCTCCGCACATGCATGCCACGCCTCCACACGGCTCCCAGAAGCAGCTGCATGTCCCCCCTCCAGCTCCTATGTTTAGGGGCAGCCAGGGGGCTCCACGCACTGCCCCTAGCGCCGCCCCCGCAGCTCCCATTGGCCGGGAACCACAGCCAATGGGAGCTGCAGGGGCGGCACCTGTGGACAGGGCGGCGCGCAGAGCCACCTGGCCACACCTCTGTGTAGGAGCCAGAAGGGGAACACGCTGCTGCTTCCAGGAGCTGCTTGAGGTAACTGCTGCCCGGAGCCTGCACCCCTGAGCCCCTCCCGCGCCCCAACCCCCTTCCTTAGCTCTGATCCCCCTCCCGCCCTCTGAACCCCTCGATCCCCGCCCGGAGCACCCTCCTGCATCCCAAACCCCTCATCTCCAGCCCCACCCCAGAGCCTGCACTCCCAGCCAGAGCTTCACCCCCCCACCATGTCCCAACCCTCTGCCCCAGCCCTGATCCCCCTCCAGCCTCCGAACTGCTCAGGCCCAGCCTGGAGCACTTTCTACGCCCCAAATCCTTCATCCCAGCCCCACCCCAGAGCCCGCATCTCCAGCTGAAGCCCACACCCCAACCCCCTGCTCCAGCCTGGATCCCTCTCCTGCACCCTGAACTCGTCATTTCTGGCCCCACACCTGAGCCCTCACCCCCCTGCACCCCAACCCCAATTTCATGAGCATTCATGACCCACCATACAATTTGCATACCCAGATGTGGCCCTCGGGCCAAAAAGTTTGCCCACCCTTAATACCTATTTTCCACTTTTCTCCCCAGCCCTCCAACATCTATAGGGATCCCACTCCCCCTTCCTCTCCTCAAACCCTTCAGAACAAGTAAGTCATGCTGCACTTTTTACCCATCCTGGCTTCCTCTGCCTCAATTATCCTCCGGACGGATTCTTGCATTAACCGAACCTGCCACAACACAAAGGACAAAACAAAATTCAGCAGTCAGATTCCATTTAAAACAGCTATGAACCCCAAGTGGGAATAGTTTCCTTCAGCTGAGAAGGCTCATGAGGGATGAGTGAATTAGGAAGACACCTGCAGACCAGGGCCTGGGCATTGTCTCAGCACTCACCTGCGCATAAATATGAAAATGAAGATCAGAACAAAAACACAGGGAAGGGGGAAATGCCTCAAACTGCCCTGGGGTTGCGGTGACAGAGCATGGGAATGTTAGGGACCACAGGATGGCTCCATGTCATGTCTGGAAATCATCCAATCCATGGGTAGAGTGTCTCAGAGAAATTAAAGAGTGCCAGCAATTGTGGCTTGCGGGAGGCTCTGTATTCTGTTGCCCTTGCCAATGACAGCAGCACACTCAGCTACTGGGGTGAAGGGAAAGACTCAGTCTTACTTCCTGGGCTGGGGGGCAGTGACAGGTTCTTCCCCCCCTCCCCTCCAGGGCAGGAGATGGGAGCAGGGAGGAGCAAAGATAACATCCTGTGGCTCACCGGGGGGGCACAGAGCTGCCATGAGACTCTTGGCTCTTTCTGCCCCCTTCCCTACTGTGAGAATGGTCCTGAGGGGAGGTGGAAAAGCTCTGCCTGCTGCTACAGCGGTCATGATTGGCTACTCTTCCCCAGGAGGCGGGCAAATGTGGAAGGCAGCCAGTCAGGGAGGGGATTTTCCCCCCAGGCAGGGCTAAAATCCCCAAGAGGACTGGAGCTCCTCATATCATCATTAGACTGGCTCCAGCCCTGGCAAAAATCACACCACTCGAAATTGCAAGGATTGGCAACACTGCGGGTGGTATAAGTTCTGCAAATGAAACTGGGGACACAGCTGGAGAACAAAGTGGGTGACATATGCTGTATGGAACAATATAACCAAGGATGAAACTAACAGGCAAGACTGGGGATGGAGGAATGGACCACTTACTGCAGCTTCCGCCTCCTGCTTCTTCTGTTGGACATCACTGGCTGTACTTTCCCTTTGTTTCTCCAACTCTCTGACATGAGGAAGTTGAACAACACATTAGTTATAGGCATTAAATACGATTCAGTGCAAGGATGCACTTTCCCATGTCAGTGCCTTAATGATCCTACAGACCTCACTCACTCAGGCTGGCTTCAAGGCCTCCATTGGAGATTCTTTACAGCGATCATCCTTCAGGCTCCCCATTTTAACTCCCAATAAAACAACTGTACCGCAGATAAATGCCCCTAAACCTGCCACCCTACTTCCAAAAGCAATTGAATAGGAGAGCCCAGCTCTGTATTTAAAACACATGACCTCAGACTCACTTCTCCTTTTGTGCCCTGAGGTAGGGTTTGATGATTAGCCTATGCATGGCAAAGTAGATAACTAGGGGTCCCACGGTGGCGTAGAACACAGCACTGGGGAGCAGCTGATCTGTCAGGTGGACAGGAAAGAAGTAGGTCTGGCTGGCCCTGTTCAACCTAAAACAAAGAAGAACAAAGCAGCTTATCAAAGCAAGTTTGGAGTTCTAAAGCACACAACAGAATACGTCTAATGCTGGCCAACAGTGTAGGCTCCAACTCAGCTGCAGCAACCACCAGAGGTAGTGGGATAGTCTGAACTCTGAACCCAAAGGTGAAGAGCTCATAGACTAAATCAGAACAGCAGCAAAGGAGACGTCTGAAGCCTGGCAGAGCCCTTACTTTTAAGGAGCAGGTGTCTCCTCTGGAGATACTTGGTTGGAGCTGTGACGATGTTCTGGGGTCTATTTAAAAAAATCTTGAGAGAATCTCTTATGGTTCCAGGAATCATTGGGGAAAGACACAATCACCCCTTCCAGAGGGAAATCAGGAGCAGTTGCTTATCCTGAAAGAATCTACTGCTGCACTGTTCCCCACCATCACTTCCTGGATTCCTACCCAATAAGGCAAGGAACGTTAATCATGATTTGGGGACTTCAACAGCTGAGTCAAGGGAGAGAATTATTCCAGGAGTGGGTGGGTCAGCTTTTGTGGCCCGCATCATGCGGGAGGTCAGACTAGATGATAATAATGGTCCCTTCTGACCTTACAGTCTATGAGTTACTGGTCCCTGTACACATCATGAGATAACCAAAGTTCAAGGTTACACAGGAACAGAGGATGCTCTCACAAGAAGGATCACATTCATGCATGTGCCTTGCAGGAAGGAGAATATTAATGTTCATCAGTTGCTTATGGTCAAATTTATTTTAGCAAGTTTGTCATGATCTGAAGTCATCATCAGGACTGCGATCTTACTGTTTTTGGATAGGTTCTGCAGTGTTGTCATGCCCTCTGCTGGCAAAATCAAAATATGCACGATAGTCTATCAACACAGTGTTCTGTTAGTACCTCTTTGAAAGCTGCATCATGTTAACTAGTGAAAACTGATATATTCTTAACTCTAGCAATCTAGGTTGGTCTGAATTTTTGCCTGTGTGTAAAGCTATGGTAACTGGAATGCAATTAAAGATATTTTTTTAAAAAAACCTAAATATCTATCCACTTACAGTAATTTGCCACACTTGATTTTTAAAATGCACCCTCAGATATTTTTAATGTACTTGCACACTAGTGCCAAATGAAATGCTCAGCCTCCAACAGAAGCAGGCTTAGAGGGCCACATCCCTCTATTAAAAGTGAGAGCAGCTGCAACCTGCTCCATTTTATGGCATGTACATGCATCACAGCCTTCGGGTTCCTGTTGCTAGTATGCCTAAAATACCTTTGCTTGGGTGCCCCAATTGAATGCATCAGACACATGAATGTGTGTTACAGTCATAGCCACCAATATCACAGTTATAATCTTGAACTGACTTGATTTTCAGAGACACTCCCTGGGGAACACCAACACTGACAGTGGCTCCCAAAATACTGTGTCTGGAAATCTTCCTCTCTGCTCCATATTCCACTATGGTCCCAAAGAAACCTGCCCTAGAATGACAAAACCAGAAAACAATAAGACGAGAGCAGTGTCTCCAATTTCTCTTTTACTATCCAATTCTGTTTATTGTAGTTCACCACGTATCACAAAGGAGAGGTTACCAACCTTGTACCATAACTGGAGTTCTTCAAGGTGTGTGTGATCAGAGATTTTTGTCAGCAGTGTCCGCGGGTCTGTGCCTGCGCCCTAGATATCCTTGTGCTCAGGTGCAAGAATATATGGGTGGGCGAAGGGAATGGAAGGACTGCCTCCACTCCAATTCCTTCTCAACCACGGAAGTCTAGCAAGACTGCAAGGCAGATGGGAAGGGGTGGGGGTAGTGGAGCACCCACAGGGACACATCTCGAGGAACTACAGTTACCATACCAAGTAAGTCACCTCCCCTTCTTCTTCGAGTAGCGTCCCTAAGGGGTCTCACTTCAGGAGATTCTGAGTGTGGTGCTGAGGAGGCTGATTTAGTGTAGATCACAGAACGGTGTCACCAAAAGCCATGTCAGCTCTGGAAGCAAGCACAGCACAGTGCTGGAAAAACATGCACCAAAGCTCAGGTGGCTGCCCTGCAGATGTCTGAGACAGGATGTTTTTCAGTTGGGCCACTCTGAGATTGAGCCCTGGTGGAATTAGCTACCATCTTAAGAGGGGGACAAAACCCCAAGGCTTTGTAACAGGTTAAGAAGCATCCTACAACAGTCTTTGGGTGGAGAATGGATGTCCTTTTATTCATTCCATGACAGAGCTGAAAAGCCTTGGGGAAGCCCTAAGGGGGTTAGTTCTGTCGCGGTAAAAGACAAGAGCTCTTCTTACATTCAGTGTATGGTGGCTCATTTCTTCTCTTGAAGAGTGAGGCTTGGGGTGAAGCACCGGCGGGTGAATCTCCTGATAAATGTGGAACTCCGAAGAAACTTTAGGTAGAAAGCGAGGATGTGGATGTAGTGTCACCTTGTTACGATAGAACACTGTATACAGTGGGTCAGCCAACAGGGCTCCTATCTCCCCAACACCCTTCCTGGCTGAGGTGATGGCCATGAGGAACCAAGTACAGAAGGACAAAGGAAGGAGGGATCAACTCCCCTTAGGTTCAAACTGAGGCTTCTTCAGCACATAAAGAACTAAACTGAGATCCCATGGTGGAGTGGGTTTTCTGACAGGAGGAAAAAGGTTGAACAGGCACTTAATAAACATCATCACAGTCAGGTGTGTCTGACGAACTGAAAACTCCTCAATAGGGGGGTGAAAAGTTGTGATGGCAGCAAGGTGAACCTTAACCGAGCTCAGCAATAATTCCATGATTTTTAAATCTGGCAGATAATTAAGAATGTGCATCACCTCGAGAGGAGGTATAGATCAGTGGAAACATTTCCACATCTGTAGGTAGGTTTTCCTTGTAGTAGGTTTTCCACTGAGATCTGTATGTAGTGTGATATGCACCAGTTCCATCGTTTTACTGACTCAGAAAAAAAGGATCTTTCTCCTCCTTACCAAATGATATAATACACAGCTGCTCTGTTGGCCAGCATTATGATGACTGGGTTCCCCCAGATGTGGGTAAGAAAGGGCTGGCAAGCGTAACAAGGATTTCCTCAGCTGGTCCATTTGTCCTGAACTGTGAAGTTCTGGAAGTGTGCACTCCAGCCCAGCAGGGAAGCACTGTGGTGATGATCCTTGTGGGAGAAGGCTGTGACAATGGAACTCCCACACATACGTCTTTTGGATCTTTCCACCAAGCTGCCACGCTCACTGCTCCCAGCCGCCAGCCCTGGAGTTCCCAGCCGCCGCAGGCCCCGGGGTGCCCCCAGAGCTCCCAGCCGCCACGGGAGCTGGACCCCTCCACTCCCTTCCCACAGCAGGACTCCGACTCTCATTCCCCCATTTTGTCACAGTTATTTTTAGTAAAAGTCAGGGACCAGTCACAGGCAATAAACAAAAATTCACAGAAGCCTGTGACCGGTCCCTGACTTTTACTAAAAATAACTGTGATAAAATCTTAACTTTAGTAATTAGTAAAGGGACGCAGCATAAGGCTGCTATACTTAAAGGATCCTTGGATTGGGACCCGGAACAGTGGGTGAGACTGCACCCCCCACCCCCTGGGGGAAATGGCTACGCCCTAAGGAAAGGGATTAGAACTCTGGCACGGCAGGGAAGGGGGCTGCACTGGGACAGACTCCGCGGGGAGCTGTGGTCAGAGAACTGAGTCCAAGAGGGGTGGCTCAGCGGGAAGGCTGGGGTCACTGAGGACTCAAAGAGAGGTAAGGTGTCCCCAGGGAAGAAGCCCTTGGGATGCTGCTCAATTCCAGAGGAAGAATCTTGCAACCCAGCCAGACCACACAAGGGTACTGTGATGGGCCCTCTTGTGCTGGTCAAAGACTGAGTCCAGGGAGGGCTACAGGAAGATGCACCAGCAGAGAGGGTACTGCGATAGGCCGCAGTTGGACTAATTAGGGGCCTGAGCCTTGGGAGGGCTACAGGTTGACGCCAACAGAAAGGGCACCACGATGGGCCCTGTTGGACTGTTAAAGGCTGAGCCCAGGGAGGGCTGCAGGACATTGAAGTCATTTTTGGACTGCGTAACCCCAGAAAGGATTTGTTTGTTTCATACACGGACTGTGTGTGACTTGGCTGGGGAGTCACTGAAGACCCACCTGACAAGTGGATTCGTTAACATCCTTGACAACAAGAGAGTTGGGTGGGAGAAAAAAAAAATACTCCAAGCCTCTGGGTAGTATACAATATTTTTTCAGTCTGTTTACACTTGGGTAGCATGAATTTGCCAAGCCATAAAGGCTGCGGCCAGCAGAGAGTCATTGATTTGGTATCGCACAACATGTTGATCAAAAAACTAGTAAAATATAAAATTAACATGGCACACCTTAAATGGATTAAAAACTGGCTAACTGATACGTCTCAAAATATAACTAAGTGGGGAATCATCATCAAGTTCATGTGTTTCCAGTGGGATCCCACAGGGATTGGTTCTTGTCCCTGTGCTATTTAACATTTTTATCAATGACCTGAAAGACAACATAAAACCATCACTGATAAAGTTTGCAGATGACACAAATATTGGGGGAGTGGTAAATAATGAAGAGGACCGGTCACTGATTCAGAGCGATCTAGATCACTTGGTAAACTAGGCGCAAGCAATGTGTGTTTTAATACATCTAAATGTAAATGTGTACATTTAAGAACAAAGAACGTAGGCCCTACTTACGGACTGAGGGAGTCGCGGCGGACAATCAGCTGGACACAAGGTCCCATTGTGCTGCAGTGGCTAAAAGAGCTAATTTGATCCTGAGATGTAGAAACAGGAATCTTGTGTAGGAAAAGAGAGATTATTTTACCTCTGCTTTTAGCACTGATGCAACTACTGCTGAAAAATACTGTGTCCAGTTCTGGGGCCCACAATTCAATGTGTTAAATTGGATGTTAAATTGGAGCAGGTTCAGAGAAGAGCCACAAGAGTGACTAAGGATAAGAAACATGCCGTATAGCGATAAACTATCTAGATTGAGTTCTCTGAGTCCAACAAAGAAAAAGTTAAGTGGTGACTTAATTCCAGTCTATCAGCACCTACATGGGGAACAAATATTTAATAATGGGCTCTTCAATCTAGCAGAGAAAGGTCTAACACAATCCAATGGCTGGAAGTTGAGGCTAGGCAAATTCAGACCGAAATAAGGTGTACATTTTTGACAATGAAGGTATTTAACCACTGGAACAATTTACCAAGGGTCATGGTGGAGTCTCCATCACTGACCATTTTAAAATCAAAATTGGCTGTTTTTCTAAAAAAAAATCTGCTTTACGAATAATTGTGGGGAAGTTCTACGGCCTGCGTTATACAGGTCAGACTAAATGATCACAATGGTCCCTTCCTGCTGGCCTTTGAATCTATGCATCAATTAAATTGACAGGCAAGGCGATTTTGCCCTAAGCAGACAAATGGAGGATGTCCAACAGGGAATGCTGGGGATCCTTCGTCTTCTCCAATGGAATTGGTAAGGTCTCTTGGAAGGGATCCGTTTCGGAAGATCTTGAAAGGCCTTGAAATCATCATCATAAAATGGCAGGGAGGCACAATAGTGTCGTCTGGTGAGGAGGAAAATTTGTGGGAACGTAATATCTCTTCTTCCTCTGTTAGCTCTTGGTTCTCTGTGAGATCCTCCTGTGGAGCAAGAACCAGGGTGGCGGTTGTTGATCCTGACTTGCCCTCTTACAATATGGGACCCGGGATAGCTGGTCACCATCAGAGGCCCACAAGTTCCAATAACCCCACTGTGGTGCAGTGTAAGGGAGGGGGCAGAATCCCAGGGTGGCCAGGTATATCTCGGGTTGGAACTTATTCCTCGGGGTGCACCTCAAGGGAGGGGGTCTGGAACGGGTAGGTAGAGGAGCCTTGTATAGACACCTTGGAATCAGATGAGGTGTCATCGCCGTATCCATCAGTGGGGCAAGTGGTACTTACCAGTGCCAGTGCTCGAGTCAGTACTGGGGGCCAGAGAAGACCCAATAATGGCATCTGTATTGGAGACCAAGACTTGTTTGGCTGGTTAGAGGATGTCTCAGTATTGGCTGGAAATCCTTCTCCAGAGCCTCAAAGAGCTTGTGTGAGGCTGGTGAACTAGATGGTCCTGGAGGACGAGTCACCAATGTCAATGGCAAGACCAGAGGGTAAGTAGACTACAGGAGGTAAGTCAGCACTGGCAGAGAGTCTCTCTAGGTACCCCTCAGCAATGGGGACTCAGATTCCTCCCGGGTCCTCATGGAACAGAAGCCCGTACGGTACCAGGGACTCCGGACAGGGGCCCCCAGGAGTCAGGTGGTAAGTGCAATCCATGCACCCTTCTTGGCTGGCTGGTACCAACCATGATTTCAGCTTGTCCTTAGAGTCCTCGTGCTTCAAAGGCACCGAGTTGAGTGCCAATGCCAATGCCACTTCAGGTTGTTTACCAGACAGCTTCTCAGTACGCAGTGTTGTCTTTTTAGCCGGTGCCAGGATCATGGTAGCAGTAGTGGGGAGCCTCGGCAGTACCCATGTTGGGATGTGAAGTCCCCTGAGGCCTGGACCCAGAGGTGACTTTTCTCTTCTCTCATCCCATTCTGGAGAATGGGTTCTCTCCTATTTTAGGGTCTGGATGGTTCTAAAGGGGCCCCAGCATCTTTGCTTCCCGCCACAGCAGTGACGGTGGCCAGAGCTCTCTGTGCAACTGAATCTGATGTATGGGGCGTGACTCGGACCCTGCAGGTCTCAGAAAACACTCCATCAACAGGAGTTTTAGTCTGTTCTCCCTCGATATTTTAGACTTGCTTTTAAATCCTGAGCAGATCTTACGTTTCAATGGGATGTGAGTTTTTCCCAGGCAGTGGACGCAGCTTGAATGTCTGTCACTGCAGGAAAAAGACCTATGGCAGGTCTGGCAGGGTTTGAAGCCGGGGGTCTTAGGCATAACCCATTACTCGAAGCCATGGATTGAGGCCCAAGAAGAAAACAAACACCCAGATCAGGCACATGAAACGGGGGATTCTAAAGTGTGCTAAACAACGGTAAAATATATAAAGAAAATCACTACGAAAAGAAACAGTAAGAGACATGCAAGAAGCCGTATGGCTAACTATAGCCAACACTGCAATGCTCTGTCTCAAGCCGTGGGTAGTTGAGACGGAACTGGGGTGGCAGCAGGGCCATACCCCCACACCATGCCCTGACACTGGAGCACAAGGATTCCTGGGGTGCAGGTGCAAACCCTGCTGACGACAGTCTCCAATCAGGAGCACACAGGCACATGCGCATCCTGAAGCGGAGCTGCCACAGGCAGACTAGTCAAAGAAATATCAGCAAATGAAAACAGGAAACAATATGGAACAAGAAAGACGTGTTTGTTAGTGAGTGATTAAATATGTAAATACAGGACCTAAATGAAGGAGGCCTTTTTCAGTTAGTACAGTGACAAACTGGCAAGGCTTACAGGCTTTGTCGTTGGTGACGATACACAGATATCAAAAAAAAGCAACCGAGGGTCCTGTGGCACCTTTAAGACTAACAGAAGTACTGGGAGCATAAGCTTTCGTGGGTAAGAACCTCGCTT